AAAATACGTTTACGCATGCGCATTAAATGTATAACGGGCGGTATAAGCTAAGCTAAAATTATGTAATTCAGTTAATGTTGCAGATTGTGTTGTTCCTTAGTATTCAAATTGGATCTGGCTTTTTTTTTTTTTTTTTTTTTTTTTTTTTTTTTTTTTTTTTTTTTTTTTTTGACAGAGCAATTTTATAAAATTTAGCTTGAACTTTCGATTATCTCAAATATAGTTTCCGATATATATTTACCAATATGTAAAGGATCTACAAAGCGAAAGTATGTTTCAAAGTCCATTAAACAAGAAGTGGAATTGCTGCAAAAAAATGGATGAAGTCATATCCTTTGTTTCTTTAACTATTCCGAAATCTGTTTATCAATTTCATGCTGCTCTGCGGCGGCGGGGGGGATAAACCTCGGCGCACAATGAATTGGAAGTTGATCTGTCAGCGCTATCGTTATCTTCACGGCAGATGTTTTTATTTAATTTGGCTTATAATTCCTTATTAAATGTAGTATTTCATCTCCGTTTTTGATATGATTTAAATCAAGTTCCTTGTCATTAAATTCGCTTCCGATAGTGAAGAATCTGACAGAGGTTATTGAAAATGAAAAAATTTCGATTGACAAATTAGTCGGTATTCTCGACAGAGCAATTATAGGACTTGAACAGTAGAACTTTGTAACTAAACAAGAAATTATATCTGTTTAATAGAATTAAAGAGAAAGTATTATCACATGAAACAAAGCAACTTAAACAACTTACAGTGAAAGAAATGTTTAATAAAGTAAACGAATAAATATTAAGCTTTTTTTTTTTTTTTTTTTTTTTTGTAAATTTTGATACCCTTTAAATCATAATTGTTCTTTATTTCATAAGTTACGGTTTCATATTTTTAATTTTATAATTTCTGCATGCCATCTTACCAGATTTAAACTGGTGATCTATAATCCGGAATCGCCCAGTCCGGATTAACGACTTTTGACTGTATTTATATATATATTTTTTTTCAAAGGCGGAGCATGACCCAAACTGTCAATGTCCTGTTCGCTTAAAAAAATTGTGAAAATAAACATCAAACTTTCTCAGTTTTTGACAATTCAATTTAAATGCAATTAAAGTAAGCAGGCGATAACACAGCAAAAGTAAGAATTTACTCTTTATCTCTTTATTTTTTTTTTTAAGGAAGGATAAAAGAAATATTTTAAAAGTTAAATTTGAATATCATTATCAATAATTTAAAAAAATAGCTTTTCATATATACTATTAATAAATATGTACACATCCTTTAGGAAAAATATTATCGCTTAAGAAAGATGCCAGACAAACATGTAAATTTGTGTATATCAGAAATTTTGAATTTAAAAAAAACTTGACTTTTTGATGGGCAGGTATGCTTAGAAATCACCTACTTTAAGATATGGTAAAATTTTGTAGGTTATAATTTAAATTTCGACAAATTTATAAAAATTATTAAAAATAAATCAAAAAAGGGTTATTTTTTTTAAAGAATAAAAAAATAAATTAAAAAAGAGTAAATATATACCAAATTCAATTAACATTGATCTTAAATTTTGAGCTTAATTTTTTTATCTTAATTGAACAAGAAATTATGTCTCTTATAGGAATTAAAGAGAAAGTATTATCACATAAAACGAAGCAACTTAAACACTTACATTGAAAAAATGTTTAATAAAGTAAACAACAAATATTAAGCTCTTTTTTTTTTTTTTTTTTTTTTTTTTTTTTTTTTTTTTTTTTTTTTTAAAATTTTTGATACCTTTTAGATCATAATTGTTCTTTATTTCATAAATTACGGTTTCATATTTTTAATTTTAGAATTTCTGCATGCCATCTTTCGAGATTTAAACTGATGATCTATAATCCGGAATTGCCAAAGTCCCGGCGTCTGATTAACGACTGTTGACTGTATAAAGTTATCTTCTTCTGTGTCATCATTTCTTCCAAGCTTCATTCATGTGCCCGACTGCCAAAATATCACATATAAGGAAGGAATTCATTATTTGTTCTGTGATGAAATTAGGAATTACCGTTTGAGTTCAGTGAAAACATTCTATGGCTGCTTATCTCTGAGAGCAATTTCATAAAGCTATATTTTTCCAAAGGTGTGCGCTGTGTCATATATTTCTGAGATACTCTAATAGTATATGAAAATTTAAATATTTGCTCAATGATGCCAATTGGAATTACCATTTGAAGTGTATGAAAACATCCTTTGGCTGTACTTTTCTGAGAGCAGTTGTGTTTAATAGAATTACTTGTGAAAAACTTTTCTGGAAGCTAATAAGCTGCTTACACAGAAAATTTGAATAGTTTTGATTTTTGTGGCAAAACAACATGTTAACAAATTTGAGTGTAATGCATAAATTAATATGTTTTAAATGAAAATTAAAGATTGTTTTATATTATACTTATACTAAAAAAATCATACAAAGTCTCTCTGGAAAGTAATGTCATACATTTTATTGTGAAATAGTCGTTGTCCACTAGTAAGCCCGGAAGCAGTGGTCACTTTATTAGGGACACCTAATTAGGTGCGCTGCGGCTGCCTCCTATGTAGGGACAGACAGTTTACGTCCATGCCTTCTGCAAATTTCGGGCTCTTTGGTAACAATAACCTACTCAAGTAAAGCAACAACTTCTTTCTTAGATGCTTTCACCCTGTGCGACATTGTGAAGCATGAAGTTAATGCTTCGGCTTCGACAACGTCAAAGAAAGTGGATTTTTTTTTTTTCTCTCAAATTCGGCTACGAATTCGGATGCCGATGTCATTTTGGCAGGGTGTTTGTTTACTGCATTCCTCATTGAACACAACGTGCCGCTAAGCGCTGCCGATCACGCCGGTCAACTTTTCAGACGGATGTTTCCTGACTCCAAGATTGCTCAGAAATATGCTTGTGCTCGCACGAAAACATCTATTGTGAACGAAACTGCTTGCGGTGCACAAAATAAAACAATAGCTGCACTCCAGAATTCAGCATTTTCGGTGTCAATCGATGGCAGCAACGAATGCGATTGGAAGCTTTACCGTTGTCGCATATTTCTGTGATGTTTCTAATGAAATGAAAACTCATCTTTTGCGTCCTCCATTATCAAATGGAGACGCTACGGAGGAAAATATTGCCTCCTTGGTAATTAATAAGTTGAAACAACTTAACATCCCAATATCAAACTGCATTTCATTTGGTGCAGATAATGCTCATGTCATGGTGGATGACAAAAAGGGTGTAGCCTCTTTCCTCAAAAAAGAACAAAATGAATTAATTGTTATTGGATGCCCATGCCACTTAATTAATTTGGCAGTAGAAAAAGCTGCAGCTGTAATTTCACACAGTAATGCTGAGTGCGAGAGAGTCTTAAGAGTTGTGAAGAAAAACAAAACTATGTTTCATTCTTCAATTTCACCAAAAACTCTAGAAAACATTTTAATTGCTAATTGTTATGACAGGAAATTTTCCAAAGAATTTTTGGCTAAAGCTAAAAAATGCACTCTAAATTCATTGCAATTTTTTTTTTTTTTTTTTTTTTTTTTTTGTGTGTGTGTGTAACATTGTTTTTCTTTTATGTTTCCTAATAAATTTTTTAGTTACTACTTAATTGAGGTTTACTAATGCAAGTACAATTTTCTTGTTTCTATTTGTATAAATTGTTATTTTTTTTAATATCAAAGCATTATATTAATTCTTCGTGTTCTTCTGAAGTTTTATCTTTAGAGGTTGGCAGGTATGGAGTGATTTACGACCAGAGAATACTATGTATTGGCTATGTAGCTTTTTAGATCTTCTAAATTAGATGAAAGAGACTGCTGTTTGATGCATTTTTCCACCATATTCCATACATTTTCTCTGGGGTTAAGATCTGGGCTCTGTGGTGGCCAGGGAAGGTGTTGTAACTCAGACTGATGATCAGCAAACTAATTTTGAATGCTTCTGGCACGATGCATAGTTTCATTATTGTCCATGAATTTCATGAATCCATCACCATCTGGGTAACAATGCAGGATGCACTTGATCTGCCAGTATGTCTAGATATCTCATGGCTGTTTACCCTCGAGAAAAACCAGGGCATCACTTTCATGCTAGCAGTACATGCCCCATATCATGATAGACCCTTGTACAAATATGGATTCACGGGATTGTTGCCAAATTTGACGTCTTCCATCAGTGTAAAATAAGGTGTAGCATGATTCATCTGACCACATTACCCATTTCCAATCTTCAGATGTCCAGTGTCTTCTTTTTCGACGCCACTAATTCTTGCATGTTGTGCGGAAGTGAGTGGTTTTCTCTCAGGCATTCGACTATGCATTCCTATCCTCTGCAATACTCTGTGCATGGTTTGAGCTGAAATCTGTTCGGAAGAGCCTTGCTTGGTGATCTGTGTCAGTTGAAGCACAGTGAAGTCTCTGTTCTGCTGTACAATCCGTTGGAGACATCAATCACTAATGGAAAACTGTTCAAACAGCAATTATGACTTTTCGAGAAGGGCTGTTATTTCTGATTTCAAGTTTTGAAAACCTTTGGAGAACCTATTAAGATTTGCTTTTTTCAAAATCGAGACTCCTGCTAAACAGGCACCAACAGTAAGTGCTTTTTCAAATGGTGAAAGATCTGTTGTTTTTCCCATTTTACTTAATCATGAAAAAGCACTCTTCCCTTACACCTTATATACACTAGCATTTAAACGTGTAACCTACATCATAAAAAAAATTCCATACTTCATCCCTAGCACGCATTCAAATGAAAATCTCAAAGGTTTCTAATTCATTGGCCAGTGTGTGTGTATAAGGTTCATTACTGTAGTGACTGCTTATTGATGAATAGTTCTTAGAATAAACACAGCACAATTACAGTTTGTTGTACACACCAAGACATTGCAAATTAGTTGCTGTGTAAATTCCCTTCTTTTATTACAGATTAATTTGATGCTTTTTTAATGTCAAAAGTAGTTTGGCTCAAGTGTTTATTTTATGTGATTTTTTTTATAGGTTGATGAAAATGGAAAAATTACTCGTTTGCGCCGAGAATGCCCAAATGAGGAATGTGGTGCTGGTGTCTTCATGGCTTCACACTTTGATCGGCAGTATTGCGGGAAATGCTGTTTAACATTTGTATACAATAAACCTGAAGAAAAGTAACTGTAATGATTAAACTGAATTAAAAAAATGAGTAGAAAATATATTCATTTACTGATTTACCTTATTGATAACAATGTTTCAAAATAAGACATTTAAAATTTTTTATTAAAAACATTGACTTCTTTATGTAACTGTCGCAAAATATTTTGCTCTCTAAATTCCTTTTATTTACATGTTAAATTGATGTAAATAATAACACTACGGTGTAATTGTTAGAGTGGTTCTGTGAAATGTTATTTACAAAAAATATTCTGGAGCTTACCAAGACTTAGACAATTGTACTATATTTCATGTTGCAGGTATTTTTCCAAACTTTAACAAGAACATAATTTAATTGAACCATTTTTCAAAGTTCAACAGACTGTTAAGGAACTGGTAACATTTTTTGAAGCAATTAATTATTTTTTACAGTAAACAAGCCTGGGCACAAGGGATGAGTTACTTCAAATCAAGTTTGAATCTAGTAGTAAATGAAAGTTATGTAAATAGCAGAAAAGTACCATTTTCTCCATTAACAACAATTTATCAATTTTGAATGTTAGCAAGTCATAAGTTTTGAATATTGCAGCAAAATTCATCCTGTAGAAAACAGTGGAGTGTAAATTGAAACTATTGAATATCACTGGTCGTAATTTTTTTTAAATTTAATTTATAAGTAATGGTCTGTTCAATCCATTTCAAATTTGAGTACCTTTTATTTTAATAGTGAAATACGTTAAATATTTGTGCTCATTTCCATGTACTTAACTTTCTCTGAATATTTCTGAAAGGGAAGTAAAAAAGAATTTTTGTAATATTTAAAACTTGTAAGAGTTGTTGTAAAAATTATAGGAATAATTATTTTAATTATACTTATCAGATTTTTTTTACTCTTAATTTCAACAATACATATTTTAAAACTCTTCTTTATTACTTCCTTAACCTTTTCCCGCGGGCTCAAGAAACAGTTACGTACTTTCACTGGGGGCTCTTGACTCAGCGGTTATAAAAAGGGGGGAAATTATCGAATCTTGACGACTAGGTGATTAATGCTCTTTTGTTGGACAAGCAGGGGAACTGTCGAATTTCCTTTCAATCCAGTTAGAGTGTGGGATGCACTCACACTGCATGTAGATGAAAGCAGTTTTCCCAAACGGAAAAAAAATATATTACTTTATCTTCAGATGAAATGTGTGTTACAACTAGAGAATTTTGTTCTAAAAAGTGTTCCATTTTATGAATAGAATAGTTTTTTTAAACTTGCACGTAGATTATATACTAAAAAATAAGCGAAGCAATCGAAGTTAAATATATTCACTTGTCATTGTATCAAAAATTCAGCGAGTTAAAATATTCATATATTTCTTGCAAACAATATATACATTTTCATTTTTAATAGTATTAATCTAATGTTGAAGAGAAAATTAAATAGAGTTTTACTACAAAGAAACTATACTAAAAAGCATTGCTGGATTCCAAATTGAGTGTTATTACTTTTACACCTCCGGTAATATTCATTTCTGGAGAAATAGAAATTGGTCACCGTGTTTGTACTGCACTAAACATTTACGATGCATGATCCAAGAATTTTATTTTTTTCTTTCATGTGGCATTGCAAATAGCATTCCAAGAGTTGATCTGTTTAAAAACATTTTTATCAAAGATTGTGAAAACAGTCTTTCTTTTGTCTTCTAATTCTATAAATATTGGGATTAACAGTAAAATAGAAAATCAAGGAGAAAAATTAAAATTTGGTAATCGAAGTTGCAACTACAGGAAGTAAGTGGAGGAAGTCAAAAATAAGTTTTGTTTCCACATTAGAAGCTAATATCGAGTGATTTTATATGTTAAAGTTGCAGACATTTCTGCTCTAGCAAATGCATCATTTTCTGATATATTTTTCCTATAGTTTTATTTCATTTACTTTAGAAAAATAATCATGTTGGAACTGATAAATTCCAGTTTACAATTAAAAAACTTGAATAAAGTTGTAAAACCAGCAAGGATTGACACCTGTGAAGTTTAATTGGAAAACTGAAAGGTGCTAGGAATATTAAACTAAATTGAAATATCTAGAATAATGTTGGCCATCCTGACAATTTCTATAGTAATACAGAGTGTGAAAGGAATTTTAGTTTTGTTACTACAAGGACTAAATTTAGATCCACTTCCTTATAATTGAGTAATGATACATCAGAAAAATTTTTAGCAAAAGCAGGCATACATTGCAATTGCTACGAACAAAATTACGATTTTCTTAATGAAAGCAAAATCTGCCACTGTCCTTCAACATTTGTAGGAAAACTGATAAAAGTATTTTTCTGTTACAAAGTGCAAATAATAAAAATGTTTTATTTTACATATAAATATTTTTGTACTGTTTCCATTTAAGAATTAGTAACTGAAGTTTCAGATATTAGTTACTATTTAAAAAATATATTTTTTTTCTATTTTACATATTTGTCATTGAGAAAATTCTGATTTTTATGTGTTATGATTTAATAACTGGCTATATTATTTGAACTTGTGCATGTGTCCTTGCAAAATTATTTAAAGTGTAAATCCTCACATGGATTGATTGAAGTATGATTACAGAACATAATAATTAACACTAATGAGTAATTTTCTTTTTTCTGAATAATGAGGCTGAGGAAAGTCCATTATTACTCCAGGCAGTGTTAAAAGTGTAAATTGGATTTACAAGGTATTGTTGCATTTTTTACAATATGCCAATTCAAAGGCAATATAACATGAAATATATCATGGTAGTAAAAACTTTCATAAAGGATTTAAACATTTAACCCTACGTAAATTCTATTTCCTATATTAAAGCATTGCTTATTACTACAATAAATAGTTTATGCAATATAACATGAAACATATCATGGAAACATTCAAAGGCAATATAACATGAAACATATCACGGTAGTAAAAACTTTCATAAAGGATTTAAACATTTAACCCTACATAAATTCTATTTTCTATATTAAAACATTGCTTATTACTACAATAAATATTTTATCCAAACAGTATAAATTGGATTTACAAGGTATAATTGCATTTTTTACAGTATGCCAATTTTCCAATTCAAAATCTCCCAATTTAAATGAAGCAGAAATATGGCATTAAAGGAATGAATCAGAACAACTACTGGTAATTTTATTTCCATTTCCCTTCTAGATAAAATTGAAACAATAGAGGAAAGAATTTTAAAACCAAAACAGTGACTAACAAGTGTTCTGTTTTATAAAAATAGAAACTTTTTATAGTAAAATTTTATTGCTTGTGCAATTTTTGTATTAATTTAGTATAGATTGTATCATTATTGTCCTCATTTTAGAAAAATGCTAAGATTTTTAGATATTTATATATTCAGAAAATGTTTTAAGAAATGAAATCAAAAACTTCCATTTCTTAAAACTCTTTACAAATTTTTTTCAGATTCTATTCATACTATGAGAGATGATTGCTGCCAAGATAATTTATGCATATAAACTATACTAAGCTTTGCCTTATTTATCAGATAAAATATTGTTGCAGCTGAATACAAAATATAATAAGCTGTTATAAATGCAATCCTGATCTTGTAGTATTAATAGAGGAGCATTCAGAATGCCAGCTTGATAAATAAATATTGATCATGTCACCACCAAACATTGTTAGTCTGATAAAACCTTGCATATGTACTACAGAGTTTTCCTTCAAACTATATGTTATAAGTAAAAAGCACATCTACTGAAATAGGGAATGAACAACTCGCTCTTTCTGATACGTTGCATTTTTCATGCATGATTACAGTATATGTCAAGGTATTCACATCAGTATAAAACGTGAGATAAAACTGCAGCATTTTTGCAAACCTGTAATTGTTTGCCAAAGCATAACTGCTTTACTAATTTATAGTGAATTACATCAATATAATTTCATAAGACACCAAAGAAGTAAAAAATGGCATTTTATGACCAAGGCATGATTTTTAGCATGTCATCAGGGGCAGAGCTGACGATGGAATTCCTGTGCCTGCCAGTCCATAGTAATATAAAGGTGTATATGACTTACCTAAATCACTTTGACAGAGCTGACATGTTCACCGTTACTTCTTGTTTTTCAGAGTTTGAGTCATTACATAAGTGTAAGCACTGTCGTCCATGATTGTATCACCAAAATTGTCCTTCACATGCTTACTCCAAACACTGTCATTTTATGTTTTCACTTATTTTGCATGGTGTACTGCATAACTATCAATTGACTCATCACTTTAACTGAGTTTTTCTATCTTTATTAATCCCATACATCTTAGTTTTGTGAATTAAATTATTCATCACTTCAAAATAATTAAAAAAATCAGCTTTTTTTCTCAGAAAAGTCAATCATTATAACAAAATACTTTCTTCCTAATGAAAACGGTGCTTATTTCTCAGGCAACAAGCCTATGTTTGCAAGATAGAAATAAGTACGCACATTATCATTTCTCAATGCCTACCAAATACACACCTCTAATGCTCTTACGGAGAGCATACTTAGCATGCAGCTTGCAAGATAGAAATAAGTACACACATTACCATTTCTGAATGTAGCTGTTATAGAGAGTATAGAATGTATACTTAGCATACATTTGGGTGGATTCCATACATTAGTAAGTCAGTTGCATCCAAGTTTCGAAAAGCCTGCAGATATGAAAATATTGGGTGGTTATAATTAAACAGCGCAAACGAGTGAACGGAATGCAACAAAATTCTGTATATGGGCTATAAACAAGATGCGTTCACCGAATTTTGAAAAAACAGTTTATGTTCCAAAATGGCCAGCAGAGTGCACCTTTTCAGGGAAAACATTAAATGTAACACAATAAATGATCAAAACGGAATACAGAAACAATTCTAACAATCCAGAGCAAGAATTATGAGTAATTAAATGCAAAATCAGGAAAAGCTGTTAGTTGAAAGTGAAAAATGTCAAGGTTTGCATGCTTGGAAAGAGGAAGCTTTATGCAAAACATTTGCAGACGTTGTCATGGTTCGGCTGTACGCAGTCTCTAGTTGAACATACATTATTGGTGAAGCTGTTTTATGAAAACAAGGGGAGTGCTGCTGCAGTTTATGAATTCGTCGTAGAAAGAACCTATGGCATGGACCAATGTACTACTAAAGGTATCCGGGCCATGAATTAAGAGATTTAGAGACTAGGAATTAGGTCAACCTGGAAGAAGCTGTAAACGTATTACAGCAGTACTTGTTGATGCCATCGAGAAAACTGTTGACGTGCAGTCACAGACATCAGAGTTTTGGGGCAGTAGCGCCTGTGAAGTTTTTCGACAGACAAGCTTTTCTAACAGCACCGTCCAAAAAGTATTCAGAAACATAATGCACTACTTCCCATACAAGATCTGCCATACCAAGGAGCTGCTTGATATAGGGACAACCCATAATCTCTCTCATTTTAACAGTCAGTTTTCTTGACTGTTGTTCTATCATGGCCTTGGAATGTTCTGTGGAACGATGAAGCTCATTTCTACCTCAGTGGGATAGTCAACACACAAAGTTGTCACATTTGGGCTATGGAAAATCTGTGGTTGCACACTGAAATTCCCCTACAGTCTCCAGAGGTCACTGTCTGGGGTGGATTCACGGCCCATTTTTCTTCGAGGAAATCTGTGAATGTGGGCCTGTTACATTATCCGTTATGGGCCATCAGTACTATGACACGCTGTAGACAATTGCTATACCTCCAACTTACAGTGAAGCCAGGTCCTTACATTGACCATTTTCATGCAAGATGGTGCACCCCCACATGTCCATGGGTCTGTGAAGGTGCTATTGCTCCAACACTTCACAGAGGAACATGTTATTAGTCGCTCCTTTCTTAATCCACCACGTTCACCGGATCTAACTCCGAGTGATACATTGAATGACTTAAACAACTCCGTAATGCTTCATGTGCATAGCCCCACAACTGATCAATTACGATCTGCTACTGAACACACTGTCCATAGACTTGAAATTTTGCAGGTGAATGATAATGATTACGTGTAGCATCTTTCCCTACATCGTTCTGGGCATGATTAACAACTGCTCCTCTTGGGCAATTTCACCCTAATCTGTCTTTGTTTCTGCAAACCGAACTGTCTCCCTTACCTTTACTGAATGTGGTTCGATGACAAGGTGATCAGAAACTAATATAATACTATATAATATACAGAAACTAGTATAATGTTAATATTGTTTCTGTATTCAGTTTGGTCATATATTGTGTTAAATTTCCTGCTTTTTGTGAAAAGGTGCCCTCTGGTGGACATTTTGGAACTAAAACTTTTTTCAAAATTCCGTGAGCACATCTCGTTTAATAGCACATATACAAAATTTTGTTGTATTTCGTTTAGCTGTAGGATGTCGTTTATAGGGGAAGTTAACCACTTGGTATATCTGACATCTCCAATTTCAATTCTCCATGTATACAGAATTGCTCAAAGTAGAAAATATAAAATTACTTATCAGTTATTGGTGAGTTATCTGTGCAATGCTCAAAAGCTACATGTGACAAATATAATCATGAGAAAGCAAAAAAAAAAGCATCTCTGACTCTAAGGCATTCTTATTTTTAATTTGATCCAGAACTATTGTTTACTGAATTATTCAATTCTTTCCTAGTTTAATAATTGGAGTTTTTATTTCATCAAAACCACACATTACATTCACCATACCTGCCAACTTTTACGAAAGTGCATTCGTCTTAACGATCGTAAACCATTTTTTACGATTTTTTTCCTTTTTCAAGTGTTTTTAGTGATTTTTGTCGAAATTTTAGAATTTTTGCCAATTGCATCGTGTTTTACCGCCAACTACCGACTACTTCGAATCCAGTAACCTGCGGTTTCTCCCAACTCGCCGCTTAACCAGCCAATCCAATGCGCTGAACTTGCTTCTCCCACTCTTTTCTTTGTGGGCGACAGATTATTATTGTTTTTTGTTTGTTTGCACGTGCTACGAAGTTTCTTAATTACTGTCTTTGGACTTAGCGAAATGGAGTTGTAAAAAAAAACGTATTCTCAATATTTTAATACGGCCGTTGCCTACAAAGCCGAATTTCCAACAATTAAACCGAATCCTTCAAAGGAAATAACTATGCATTTTGCAACGTGTGCGTATGTGACTTCATAATAAGTCACGGTGGAAAAAGCGATATTGTGAAGCATGTTAAGTCTAAAAAGCATGAAGTTAATGCTTCGGCTTCGACAATGTCAAAGAAAGTGGATGAATTTTTTTCAAATTCGGCTATGAATTCGGATGCCGATGTCATTTTGACAGAGTGTTTGTTTACTGCATTCCTCATCGAACATGACGTGCCGATCAACTTTTCAGACGGATTTTTCCAGACTCCAAGATTGCTCAGAAATATGCTTGTGCTCGCATGAAAACATCTTCTATTGTGAACGAAATTGCTTGCGATGCCCAAAGTAAAACGATAGCTGCACTCCAGAATTCAGCATTTTCGGTGTCAATCGATGGCAGCGATTGGAAGCTTTACCCCATTGTTGTCACATATTTCTGTGCCGTTTCCAACGAAATGAAAACTCATCTTTAAATGGAGACGCTACGGGGGAAAATATTGCCTCCTTGGTAATTAATGAGTTGAAACAACTTAACATCCCAATATCAAACTGCATTTCATTTGGTGCAGATAATGCTCATGTCATGGTGGGTGACAAAAAGGGTGTAGCCTCTTTCCTCAAAAAAGAACAAAATGAATTGTTATTGGATGCCCATGCCACTTAATTAATTTGGCAGCAGAAAAAGCTGCAGCTGCTTTACCATTAAATATTGACCAGCTTCTGATTGATGTGTTTTTCTATCTGGAGAAAAGTGTAAAAAGGAAGAAAGAAAACCTAAAGAATTTCCAAGAACTGTGCTCTGGTGAAACGAGAAAATTCTGAAACATGTATGCACGAGATGGTTATCCTTAGGCAGAGTGCTAGGTAGGTTTATTGAACAGTGGGATGCATTGCTAAAATATTTCCACGAAGAGACCGAAACGAAACCACAGATCCCATCAAATTTGTCAGTATATAAGATTCCGAAAACCAAACTAAACTTTGCTTCTAATCAAAATGCTTTAAAAGGGAAAAGCCAACACACAGAATCAAACCCTTTAAAAAGAAAATACTTAGAAGACTCCTCAAAGGTCAACTTTGTTAAAGAAGTTGAAGGTACGAAGAAACAGTCTTCTATTAGCCGGGAGGAAAGGATTTTCTATCTTCTTTCTTCGGATTTGAACAAAGCATATTGTAGTTTTGTGTTAAGTACCATTAAGATTTTTGAAAGTGTAAATACCCTTCTACAATCAGCTTCGCCAAAATCTCCCCTGCTGTATCCAAATTCTTAATGATCTTTTGAAAGAACTTTTAACTAAGTTTGTAAAACCGTCCGTTGTGAAAAACAGTGTGTTGATTCGCGTTGCCTATAATAGTTTGGGAAATCAAAAGGATGACAATGATCTTATAATTGGAAATCAAACCAGGGAACTTGTAAATTCTTTGAAAGATCATGAGAAAAAAATATTTTTTCAATGTGTTAGAAAGTACTTTTCCTCAGCCTGTGATTACATTGTAAGGAAGTTTCCTTTGCAAAATGAAGTTCTTTTAAATGCTGAAGTGGCAAATTTGAAACAAATTGAAAATTCACCTTTTGAAAAGATTCGTTTTTTATTGATAAATTTCCATTTTTGTTAACAATTAAAGAAAATGAATGCCATAATGATGCTTTAGATGAACTACAGAACCAATTTTCTGCTGCACAGTTTGAAGACTTTGCCAGTTCTGGAGAAGATAAGGCTTTATGTCCTCGTTGGTACTTTAAAAAGAATAAAAAGATCTGATGGAACACCAAAATATGATAGACTAGCGAGAGTTTTATGTGCTATTCTCGTAATTCCACACAGTAATGCTGAGTGCAAGAGAGTCTTCAGTGTTGTGAAGAAACACAAAACTATGTTTCGTTCTTCAATTTCACCAAAAACTCTAGAAAACATTTTAATTGCTAATTGTTATGACAGGAAATTTTCCAAAGAATTTTTGGCTAATGCCAAAAAATGCACTCTAAATTCTTTGCAATAATTTTGTGTAACATTACGTTTTTGTTTTATGTTTCCTAATAAATTTTTTAGTTACTACTTAATTAAGATTTACTAATGTAATTTTTTAGTTACTACTTAATTGAGATTTACTAATGTAAGTACAATTTTCTTTTTGTATAAATTGTTTTTTTTTTTAATATCAAAGTATGATATTAATTCTTCGTGTTCTTCTGAATTTTTATCTTTAGAGGTTGGCAGTTATGCATTCACTGTAGTAAATTGTAGGAGATCTTTTTTATCACAACAAAATTTCATATATCTTTTCCTCATACTTAAAAGCATATCAATAGTTATTAAGTCTGAATTAATTTGTACATTGAATATTGTTTTCTAGAAATTTAGCATGAATAAAAGAATATAAATAAAAAAATGTACCTTGCACTTTTTACAAAATGCAAATTAATCAGATTTTTCAAAACATGTATAAATCCCATAAAACTAGTTTAAGGAATAAGGCTGGAAGTAATATGAAGAAACAGTCTTTATTCTTTGGAATAGATTTTGTTTTTGACATCAACAAAGGGTAGGGTTACAGGATAAGATGATTTAAACTATCTAAACACTCTATAACATCATGATAAACATCTGACAAATTTTACACCAACACGAACTTGTTACAAATTTCAACAAAAAAGGCAGTATTTTTAATACGATAGGAATAGATTCCCAGCTTAAATGGGATGGCGGAAATTTGCTCCAGCATATTTAGCAGCAGCTCCCAGTTCCTCCTCGATACGAAGAATTTGGTTGTATTTAGCCAAACGTTCAGAACGACATGGTGCACCTGTTTTGATCTGTCCGGTGCTCAATCCAACAACAAGATCTGCAATAAAAGCATCTTCGGTCTCACCACTCCTGTGAGATACCATTGTTCCCCAGCCATTACTTTTAGCCAAGTTGTGCCTAGAAATAAATAAGCAAAATTAAGGTAATTTGAACTAATGAATTAAGGGATTCTATTAGTCTCAAACTACACATGTGCCAAATATGTATGATTTCAAAAAATCTGACAAGGCAAAACTAAGAAAAGAAAATTACATAAATTTAAAAAAAGTTTTTTTATAATTTTTTCTTTCGTTTTTCAAACAGATTCCCATCTGTTTGAATTATTTGATTATTATTTCCCATCTGCACTTAAATTTGCACTTAAATTTAGATCACCCCCTCTCTGCAAAAACCCAACATTTCACTAATTATTTTAAATGGCATAATAATTTCTGTAATTCCTTTCCTTCTCATTTCAGTTCCACAAGTATTTGAGCCAAAAGAAAATTTCTTCCAACTTCAAAGAGATCATCTGTCAATAATGGAGACATGAAAAAACTATCAGTGTGTAAATGGTATCCTTCAGCAGAAAGTTCTTCAAGCAGGAGATTTAAATACTCCCCATATAAGCCTGAAGTTTCTTTTCCTATGTAAATGATAAAATTAAAAAAATAACTTGATTTAGACGATATAATTTGTTGACAATTTTCTATGCTCTGACATTGTAATGCACTAACATAAACATTTGATATAAACAAGGTATACTTCCTGATTAGAAAATGGACTGCAAACCCAAACACCAAATATGCTCTGGAGGGGGGGGGAATCTGCATCTCATTTATCGATGAGTAGGTCACATGCACATTTTAATAAGCACCTAATATTATAAACCCTCCCCCCCAAAAAAAAACTCAGGCATTTATTAAAAAATATCTGCACATTTAAAGAGCTGTCAGAAAGCTTGAGTCAAGAACATGTCTTATGTCAATATAATGAAAATCCAAGTGCATGTCCATTACCCTTGTCTCATTTCGAGTAGAATATGTATTTAAAACATCAAATCTACAAGTATCTCAAATCCTATGGACATATAATGTCATCATCTGCTAAAAATAATAATTTCTAAAACGTTTCAAAACTGACACAAATGCATGACAGGTAGGGATGGACAAGAAAATTGTGTCACTTCAGCATGCCAGCTAGGAAGTCGGCTCGTCTCGGTACATGCAAACTTGTAATGTCCATTACCTGAACGACGGATGTGGAGTTTCAAAGAAGTTACACAAAAATGTTATCATTTACTAAAACTTAAATTTTCATAAGATTAATAATAATAAGATTGAACAAAGTAAAACAGGATATGAAATCAGAAAATTAAAGAGCAGTATAATCTGCAATGCTAGCTGAGCTTCTCTTTTTGTGGTGCCAGCAAAAGAAAACCAATATGTGCAATATTCTAATTCAAACAGACATGGGTCTAAGGGGTTCACTTCCTAACAAAAACAAAAATTACTGCACCCCCCCCTCCAATTATTCAATAACTGAAAATGAAAATGGGTTGCTTAGCTGACATGCATTCAATGGCAAAACAACATGCGAGATGATTCAGTACTGATACAAATAATATTTCATCTAAAAGAAAGAAATATTTATGACAGTCTAGCTTCTTTTGAAAATCATATTCTCCACTTCTACAAATAGGAAAAAAAGGTTTCTTGAAAAAAGTTATGGGAGGTCCACATAATATTTTTGATTATCAGACATCCAGGTTAATTTAAGTTAGGTTCACTGATTAAGGCAAAGTACTCAAGTGCTATTTGCATAAAGGAAGTGAAGCCTTCATGACGACCCTTTAAGGGAAATTGACTCGTATCCACATTACACATAGGAGAAACCAACCATGCAGCCAGCCCATTCGCCGGGATTCGATCCCAGGTAAAACTACCAGTGTTAAACAATGTTACTACTCAGCTACTGGTGGGCCATTAACATCCAAATTTCAGATTTTATATTGCAATAATTTAATGATCTTTGCATTCTTGTTAAATTTTGCATGTTTCTAACAGAACTTAAAGTATACATGGCATTCAAAGTCTTCCAATGGCTAAAATGGTCTTTGTGATTATCGATACACACAGAAAAAACAGCAAATTATTGCTGACTAAATTCGTGAAAAATTAATTTGATATTTTCATGGATCAAAGCTACTGTTCTATTTATAAATAATGCTAAAAAGATGTGTTTTATAAAATTCCAGAGCCCCATTATAATTAATTACTACAAAAAAAAGGTCCGAGAAGGAATAAACACTAATCAACTAAACAGCAGTTAACTATGAAGCATAAAAATCCCTATGTACTCAAGCACATGTGCAGTGCATGTGCTCAATCATATGTGCAAATAACATGAACTGGCTGGCTATTGCTACATGTATACTAAAAAATCTGATATGTACACCACATGACTTCCTTGTATGGAATATTAAATTATACAAATTTTTTCTTGCATTTCCTTTAAACTTATTGGATTGAATTAAATCTTACTTCGCCAACAGCGCATAAACCATAATAGAATAAATGCATTTTTTAAAATTCACTATTTGTTTACCATAGCGACACACTGGCGTAAGGTTCACTTAACAGTATTTTGTTCGTATTATAACTCACAATGCACAAAATTTATATCATTTAAAGAATTATCCAATTGTTGCCACATGTTCTATTCAAATACTATAATAAAGCTAGAATGATGTATAAAAGAAATTAAGCAAACAAAACAAAAAAGAAACAGTTTTCACAGACGATTGAGTATTTCTCATTCAATTAATTCAGTTCTCACTTCGCGAGAAGGCAAAAATACATAAAAACTCAAAATATCTGTATTAAAAATTACGAAGTAAATCTTAAACACTTACTTCCTCGAAAAAATTCCAGAAAGGATTGAGCATGATTTCACAATAATAAATGAAGGCGTTATCTTTCTCGTTGTGAAGCTTAGTTTCTCTAGATTGGCAACAAATCTACTATTCTGCAGTTTCAGATGTAAACAAATATGTTTGCCATGTTATTTAAAACTTAACTGCACTTAAACAGCTTCTAAATTGTTGATAATTGTACAAATATTGCTTCCAGATTTACGGAACGCATAAAAACCTTGATCGGAAAATAAGAACATAATTCAATGATTTTTAAAGCAAAAAATGTACAATTTACATATAAGAGTAAAGAAACTGAGATCACTGAGCCGAGTAACAGAGTGGAGATATATATAAATATATTTATATATGTTTGGTGCGGCCGATTGCAACCAAAATACGAGGTGCACATCTACATGTTATAGCAGTCCTATACAAAATTTAACATTCTGAAGCTACTCGTTTTGAGTTATGCGAGATATGTATGTACATACATTCGTACAGATGCCACAAAAAATTCTCTTCAGAATTCATTTTAAAGCGGTTTTATAATTTTTTTTGGAAGAAAAAGTCTTTTATTCTGTCCTTACGTACAGATGTCACGCAAAAACATCGTTAAATCGCATTCGATAGCGGTCAAAAATGGATATTTTCGTTGAAATATGCTGCCTGAAACTTTTTGCAATTACAATACTTATTTTACTTCGTACAAGGAAGTAAAAATGCAGTTCTACCACGTGGAAAACAGGAAGTGCAAAGTATAGACATTTTTTCGATGCGAGAACACAAAAACAAACATTCCAAATTAAAATTAATACTTACGCTTTAATTGCCTCAGTAACACTACCAATCTGGTTTACTTTCAGTAACAAGCAGTTACACGCTTTCTGTTCAACAGCCATCTGGATACGTTTAGGATTGGTAACAGTAAGATCATCTCTAAAAAGTTGAAAATTAAACATGAACATGTAATTACAATATGCCAACATTAGATATTAAAAAGTGTAAATAAGGAATAATTTAATAAATTTAGAATTTAAAACTTTGCACGCTTAGTAACGACTTTAAAGACTTCATAACCATACTTCATTTCTAAATCGAATACATGCACATCCAGAATGTGATCTGCTTATTAAAACTGTTCAATTAGTGCTATATATTAATTATTTCACAGTCACACTTTCTGTACTTTTTACCTCTATTGAAACTCAACTACCTGCCGTTCTGAGAGAGACGATGTTACAAACAGACGCGCAGATTATAATAGTATAGATACTAGAAATCAGTAATCCATTACACTGACAAGTTGGCTAAATGATAATGTAATTGCAATTGTTTTTCTTTTAACTTTTATTTAAAAAAAATTATGGTAACTTATTTAAAAATATGCAATGGGGATTGCACAACTTTCTCTTACAGCTTATTAAATCATACAGACTTTTTGCTGCATGTGCAAATATATATTTTCAATGAATTGCCAGAAAATATTCCACCAAAATATTATTTTACATATATAGTAGTAATAAAAAATAGACAAATGTCAGATGATTAAAATTAAGGATCCTTTGCCAATTCTGGCCGAAATTAAGGACCAAAAATCACAAAAAACCCAAGGTCTCATAAAGTCCACATGAACCCTCATATTTTGATTGAAATACGATACCCAAAATTTTTAACAATTACAATATTTCCTTTATTTTTCAAAAGGAAATAAAAATAGTTATGCCCTTAATAATTCAGAAAGAAATCTCCAATATCGAAAAACTGGAAATGAAATGAAAATTAGCTTAATTGATTGAGCTGTAGTTCTTTATTAAAATTTAATAAATTGTAACAATCTTCAATTAGAATAAAGTTTTTTATTACATTCTTTATCCTTAAAATTACACTAGCAAAAATCTACGTTCCATTAAGTGTTAAAATATTCATTATATCAATTAATTTCTTGCTTACATAAAGCATAAAAACTTCAACTTACCCAACAACTTGGTTTGTAACTTGAGAACAATATTTTGTCCAAGCCTTCCAGTCATCCTGATCAAAAGGATCTTCAATGGAAACTATCGGATATTCTTTGATCCAATTTAAGTAAAGCTGACCCAGTTCATCGGGTGTAATGAATTTTGATTGGTCTGAGTTAGGATTTTTGAAATCCAAGTCATATTTTCCATTTTTGTGAAATTCTGAAGCTGCTACATCCATGCCAATTTCAATTTTCCCAGTGTATCCTGCTTTCTCAATAGCTTCTTTAATTAATTCAAGCCCTTCTTTGTTTTCTTGGATATCAGGAGCAAATCCACCTTCATCTCCTACACCGGTTGCAGCAAGACCAAACCTGAAAAGAAAAGGTTACGTAAGATACAAAAACACAAATTTAACTTTGTTGAACTGTTTTATTATTTTAATGAATTCTAGAATTTTATCAAAATCCTATAAAAAAGCTTGGACAAATTTTAAATACATTAAGTTAACAAATATGAATACACAGCAGTATTATAAATATTACCTTATTTTTTAGTAAAACAAGATAAAATTAACATTCTTTATATGAATAAAATAGTTTTTACATAAGAATAATGTAAACTTTAGCATTTTTCTAATCTGCATACAAAATTTATAACATACACTAAAATGATATTGAGATAAAATTTATTCTTTCACTCACTTGACAGCATTTCTTTGATATTTTTTAACAGCATAAAAATAAGTCAAATATTCTTTAATAATAAGGCAGTTACCAGAATCCACTATACTTTTTTCATACTTAAAAAAACTTAATCTAAAAATTCCTCAAAAGGCTGATGGTACGACAATCTGTGAATATCTGAAATCCTTGGTTTTTTGGTGTTTGCAATGCTGTTCATCAAAACTAAGACGGAACTTGCAAAAGTAGTTTTCTCACCAGAGCCAAGACTTAAGGCCACTGACAGACACTTTCAGCCCTACTCGTGAGCATTTACAAGATCATTTAAAGGACCGTATAGCCCTACTTAAGCATAAGCATCACAATAGCATTAAACTTATAAAGATGCTTAATGCAGTTTTCAAATGTGTTCAAGAATACAGGTCTATTTTTAAATACTGTCTCAAATACAAAAAGAATAATTCACCTCCTCTACAATTTAAAAATTTCCCAGTTCCCCCCCCACACACACACACACTTGCCTGACAATGGTCAGTACAAGTCTACGACATTCATTGTGGCAAGGAGTCAAATGCACCTCTCGTTGGCATGAGCCTTGGAGCGCCATATAGGTCACAGCCCAACTTTAGCTAAGTTCTGCCCCCAATTTTGAGGGAAAACACCCCGAAGATACGAGTCTGAACGTCTCCCACCCCTCTTGCACTGACACCAACCTCTCAAGAAGACTTTTGGCTTGTCATACATTTACAGTATTCTTATGCTGCATAGACACTATACATTTACTAACACATATGCCTTCTACGATATTCGAACTTGGGTCCTTCGGTACGGCAGTCAGAGTCACTAAACACTATCCTGGTAAATGGTAGTTCTTTTGTTTCTTTTTTAAAATCAGTCTTTGATAAAAGATTAATATTTGAAATGTTTGTTACAATTATTATTTCTCAATACACTTTTTGAACCTATATATAAAAGCAACTGAACTCAAAATGCTGCTAAATTGAGAAGTAATAAGAAAGTGGCACATGAATAATAAGAAACTGCACAAGAATAAAAACGTCAAAAATTTTTTTTCTGCCATATAAAATAAAAGGAGGGATGAAAAATTTAAATAATCACATTTTTATGATTTAAAAACCTGTTGAAAGTTGATCAAATTATTTCATATAAATGTGTAGATGACTTACAATTCGATAATATTAAGAAAACAAACACTATTAAAAACTACCAAAAATTTAGTTTCAAAAACTCAACAGCCAGGAATTATTTTTTTAAATAATGCTATTCATTCAGCCATTTCCATCATAATGTGAAACACTCATTTATTATCCAGAATAATAATAATAAAAAAATGGGTTGCTGAAAGTGGCAAGTTAAGTAATTTCCTTTTAATTAAAAAAGCACATTAAAATTTATTTATATAAAATATATTAGATAAAAGATTACTTCTTTTTGATGACATTCTTCAGATGGTGGTAAACTTCACTTCCCATTTTCATTGCTTCAGTAAAAGTTTTAGCACCGGTAGGTAAAATCATGAACTCTTGCATAGCTAATTTGTTGCCAGCATGACTTCCACCATTAATAACATTGAAGGCAGGAACTGGAAGAACAATATCTTTGACACCAGCCAGATCAGCCAAATGCCGGTACAAAGGTACTCCCTAAAAAAAAAGTTTTTATGAACAAGTATGTATAAACCTAATAGAATTTTACAAGATATCTTGCAAATGTAAGAAGAAAAAAAATTAGGGGATAAATTATATCTGACATTCAAACACTCAATATATACAAAAATGCACTCTAAATACAAATTGTTTATCCAATTCTACTGTAATTAGAATTTACATTCCAAGTATTGCTAAAAATTTCTCCGAAGCAGAAAACTTAAATCGGTACTTTTCTGTTTCGCCAGCGCAAATCTCGTCAAGCAGACTATATTGTACAGTACAGTATAGACATAAAAATGTTAAGAAATGTTAGTTCTAAGAATTTTTTAATTTGAAGGAATAAAGATTTTAATATAGTTTACAATTTTGTAAGAAGCTAATAAATAAAGACAAATTTGTAAAAGGATATTAATTTTAGAACCTACTGCACTTTCATGGTTCAACATCCTGATTCGCCGGTTCATATCACGTGACCCCAAGTGATCTCATCTCGTGTAAACTATGCTACAAAAATCTAATTCTCTCAGTAATTATCCTACATTAATTTCAAGTTAAATCTTAATTTGGGATACAAGTTTAAATGCAAGAATTATTTCAATCTGTACGAATAGTTTACTCAGAAATTATGTAAAACCGTAATGCTTCACTTCGCTAATGCAGTCTCATTAGAATTGACGAATTTAATCCTTAACTTTGCCTTTTCTACGAGGGCCATCCAGGAAGTAGATTACGTTTCCGTCTGTGTCCGCTAGGGGCGGGGCTAGCGCGGCCATCTTGGGGTCAGAGCGTTGCGCAGCTCAGTCTGCATCTAGCCGTGCTAGTGAGAGGTTCGTGCTGTGCTCCGTTCAGATACTGTGACGGTTTGAAATGTCTGCGTTAATTGAAAATCCCGCGAGCTGCGAGGTGCGCTCAGTAATAAGGTTTTCTGACTGCAAAAAACTGTAAACCGATAGAATCTATCGGCAGCTTCGTGAAGTGTATGGGGACAACATTATCACTGAAGGTGGAGTGCGTCAGTGGGTCATAGATTTCAAAATGGCCGAACCAATGTTCACGACGAAGATCGAATGTGGGAGACCCAGCATAGTGACCGCCGAACTTCTCGAAAAAAGTCGATGCTAAAGTCCGTGAAAATCGAAATTTCACAATAACGGAACTTTCTTTGAGTTTCCCACAAATTTCGCGAAGTTGTTTTGCACGAATCATCAGCGAAAAGCTTGGTTACCACAAGTTTTGTGCAAGATGGATTCCAAAAATCTTGACAGAGGACCACAAAAATCAGCGAATGGCTGCAGCATTGAACTTTTTGGACGCTTACCATAAGGATGGTGACTCTTTACTCGCGATCGCATCGTTACTGGTGACGAAACATGGGTGAAACATGTGAACTGTGAAACGAAATTGCAATCAATGCAGTGGGGGCACACAAGTTCTCCCCAAAAACCCAAGAAATGCATGCAAACATGTCGGCAAGGAAGATGATGGAGACTGTTTTTTGGGACAGAAAAGGTGTAATTTTGGTGGACTTCCTGGAAAGAGGCACTACAATAAACTCTCAAAGGTATTGCCAAACTCTCCAAAAAACTCAGAAGAGCAATTCAAACAAGCGCAGAGGAATGTTGAGCTCTAAGATCTTGTTGATTCACGACAACGCCTGGCCCCACACGGCAAATGTCACTCGTAAAGTTCTTGAATCTTTTAAGTGGGAGTTGTTTCCTCATCCGCCGTACAGTCCCGACCTGGCACCGAGCGACTTCCACCTATTCCCAGCAATGAAGAAGTGGCTGGCTATGCAGCGTTTTGATGACGACGCACAGCTGCAAGAAGAGGTAACGAAGTGGTTGAAGGCGCAGGCGGCCGAATTTTTCGACGAAGGAATTTCCAAGCTCGTACATCGCTACGATAAATGCCTTAATTTGTATGGTGACTATGTAGAAAAGTAGTATTTGAGTGTGGCTTTCATCTGTATATAATAAAATTTGTTTCCTATACTTTGTTTATTTTTTTATTCCAAAACGTAATCTACTTTCTGGATAGCCCTCGTATATTTTCACCTTCGAGTGAGCAGTGTGACTTGCATCTTAATTGGCCTAATTACCACGAATGGCCTCAAGGTATAAAATTGAACTATCTGGTAAAAATTCTATATATGCCAATATTGAAAGAAATGCCAGTATTCTATGTGTATACCAGTATTGAAAGAAACAATCAATCTGATAACAGCTGCTACTTGTTTCGAAAATGAGGCATAAAAGGTTTCCAGCGAGGATATTCCATTTGCCACCAGTTGTACCATTATTGATGATTTTATCGTTTGCGCCGGCAAAACGGAAAAGTACCCTTAAATCATACTAATTTGACAATACATCATTTCTTTTAAAATATATTAGCTTCTTTTTCTTATCTCAACAAATCCCAAAATTTCATAATTACTCTTCAAAAACCGCACAGAACATAATCAAACTTTAACTAAAGCAAACAACTGCATATTAACAGCTGGATTCGCCATAACAAAATAGCCGATTTGGATATCAGAATCTGATAAATATATTAGAATACGCAGGTAATACAATAACTATGGTAGATTTGAATTCATTAAAATCTTTAAATATGTAAAATCCATAAAAATAAAAAAGTTCCATATAAAACAATCTTATTAGTCCTTAATAAAAGCCATTTTGAGTTTTAAGAATGTTACTTATAAACATAATATTCTCACAAACGGTTTTCTATGATTAAAAACAATTTTAATTTCTTTGATTTGATTCTTTTCTCTTGAGCACATGAATAAAATGAAATGTTTGAGAGTCCTTGAATAACTGAGCATATGCAGCTGAAGAGTTCAGTTTAAATTCAGCCTTGTAAAAAAACTAATTTTAATACACTTCAAAAGAATGGAAATTTAATAAAAAATTACCTTTTGTGCTGCTCCAGCTTTGGCTACAGCAATAGAAACACCTAGGATGGCATTTGCTCCAAGTTTAGCTGTTATAATACACAAAAGTAAGTAAATGTTAGTTTAATTGGTTTTCAAACATACTGTAATATAATTTTTCAATAATTACACAAAAACCTTTTACAGTAAATAAGTGAAAATAAAAGAAGCTAAGAAAACAGTCTTTCAAAAATTATATAATCATAAAATACTTACATTTGTTTTCTGTTCCATCAAGTGCAATCATCAAATCATCGATTTCCTGTTGCTTGGTTGGACATATATTCTATATGAAAATGAAAAAAAAGGTAAAACACTAAAATGATTTTAAAATTAATTTAATAAAAGCAATTTAGAGAAGAAAGAATATATGGCTACACCTAATTCTATGCTCTCAAATGAAGCATTTAAAAAAAACTAATATTCATATTATGGTGCAAGAATACAGAATAGGGCCTCTTTAAAACAAACTTTCTAAAGAATTTCATGCACCGATCCATGTAAGAGTAGATAAATGATATGTTGATAGATAAATGATCTTTCCATAAGATATGTTGAAAATACCTCATAATTACAAGCTGTGTTTTAACAGCTGTTATAAAGTACTGGACAAACTACAAATATCTTTCAATAGGGGAAAAAATTTTTGATTAATAAGGGAAATGCAAAGTGAACTTGCTAACACAATCAAATCAATTTTCATTTAGGGAAAAAAATCAACATGGATTACCTAAGCTTAATATCTTAATTATGAGCTAATGCAATTTAATGTATAATCTTGACAGATTATCTTGATTAAAGGCATTAATGTAAACTAAAGAACACTGTAAAAAGTAATAATAATTTTTCTCAAGTTCAAAAATGCATAATGTAATTAAACAGAATTAATGAAACTTTATCTGGCATGTCCATGATGAAAATCCTTTGTTGTGTGTAAGAAACCAAGAAAGTAAAATTTCATAACAATATGCACAATACATGACATTAGAAACCATCTAATTAACCAAATTAATTAAAAATTAAGATTTTGCCAATATTTATAAAATTAAAAATATTATAAAAGAAATTCTTGAAACTAATATTTCTAATATCAGTACTTCATAACACATGCAATGTAAACATACAGGAATATTCTGTTACAAACTGTGCGATCTGATAATCTGAAGTTATGCTCACTCACTGAAAGATGTATTCTTCAATAAGAGAAAGCAATATTCTGTTTAAAAAAAAGCAAATATCATCCTCAAATATTTTACATTTCACCTGCTACTTTCTATTTATTAACCCTATTTAAAATATATTACAGACATTTAAAAACATTTTTAAAAGATCATTTTTACACACTTCTTACATGCTTGACAATAATATTAGGCTTGTAGCAGATTTTCCAGCATGCATATACTTGCATACAAGGCACGGCTGATTTGTAATTTTCCAGTTGTAACTAAAATCTGTTATCATATAAAACCCAAACTTCTTGTACCTTGGAGTACATTCTAGGGTACCGTAGGAATGGTGGGCATATTTATTTTTTCAAGATAAACTGATAGGCTGACATAGTTCATTATATATATATGATATACAAAAATTATTCCAAAATTATAATTTTAAGACATGCAAATTACTTATTATAGTCTTACACAAAATAATCACCAAATAACTGACAAAAGTTTACATATTCTTAGGTTTATTCATTAACAAAAATTGTTTTTACAATTAAGTAGGAGATACACATACTAAAAATATGAAGATTTTAACTTGCTATAAATATAATATAGCATATATGGAAATACCTATTAAGTGAGGATTTTTCTTCCTATATGACAACACACACTGGTGTAAGAAATTAAGAGAATTTTCATATTTGATCTACGATCTCCAGAACTACTGGACAGATTTTAATAAAAATTTGTGTGAACTATTGAGTAGAATACAACCAAAATAACTTAACATTATAATGACACACATGTTAAGTGCTACACTCACAGGACTGAAGTCTGAACAGCAGTTGCATAGACACAAAAGAATGGGTTAATAGGGAATATGGCCCCTTTGGACGTAATTTAAAATCTGAAACCTTTCATACTGGAAATACGGCAGTTTATCAGTGCCTGTGACAATTGGACTCAATCATTCAACAACGCTGTCTTCAGTTCCTGGATGGTTCTCGGAAGGGGTTCCGAGTTGCCCACCCCAAAACTAATTGCCCTCCCCAGAGTGTCCCAGACATGCTCTATAGGGTAAGGTCTGGAGACATGGTTGGCAAATCCATCTGGCGAATATCTATGTGGCCTCGGGTTATCGTCCTGTAAGATGAACTCGGGGCCCACTGTACCCCGGAAAAGGAGAACATAGGGCTCCAATATCATCCCTATACCTCACATCAGTCACAGAGCTTTTGTCAAAGACGTGGAGAGGTGTGCGGCCTTCCAACATACCAGTCCAGACCATTACACCAGCACAATTGTTGATTTCGTAGACATTGGAGGGTAGGTAGCGAGTCCCTGCCTCTCACCGTATGAAAGCACGGTGAGAATCGGTGTTTAGGATAAAACAGGACTCCTAAGTTAACAGAACTGTCGCCCATTGCTCCGTATTCCAATCACTATGCTGCCTGCACCATGCTCATCAGACTCTCCTGCCATAGATGTGAGCAGGATGCAAACAGCCGGTCTTCTGGCAAACAATCCTCTCTCATTCAGACTTTTGGAACGTCACCCTTGTTTACAACGGGTTCCTGTAGCTGCATACAGGTCCCAAGAGAGCTGAGAAGATACAGCCCCTCTGTAATGCCTCGCTAAAATGGACAAATAGAGATTTTCTCTGGCCACTGTAGCTCTTGGACGACCTTGCCCAGGCTTTCTCTCGATGGATCTAGTATCCTGGATCTGTTTCTATAGGTTACACACGACGCTACACAAACTCTCTGCATACTTGCTATTGGCCTGCCTCTAGCCTCCCTACAATTTGCCCCTCATTCTATCATCTAAATGGTGGTTACTCATTTTTACTGTTCTGATGTGAATTTAACCGATTGCTGCAAGATAACATCAAGAAATTCACAGAGCTATGCTAGCGAATGCAATTCGGCTTACAGTACATGCGCTTATAAAGGCTGTTTTTCTGCTGGCTCCGTCTACACACATGTGCATGCTTACATATTTGCCATACAAGATTTGCATTTTTATCTGGAAGCGATGGTTTTCCCTTCAGTTCAGTTCTTTTCATGCAATTCAATAAAATATGCAAATTCTCTTAATTTATTTCACCAGTAAAGTTCAGAATACAGTGTGAATCATGCTCTGCCTATGAGGGCTATCTACAAACATTGGTACTGTTATTTAAAAGTACAAAATATTCCCCCACTCCACTAAAAAAATTTTTTAATCAAATTAATTTCATTCTCAAGTTCAATATCAGGCTGTCTAGCAGATCTTGATTCAATTTCTGTTACAACAAGAAGCTTTACTTGTTTTCATGGAATTCAAAAGAGATATATGCAAATATAACTGACTGTTACAACTTTTCTCCTCACAATAAGTTATGCCATTCTAAAAACCTTAAAACATCTACATTGCTCAAGCACTATTACTCAGCACTCTCTAATATTAGTTTGTGATTTTGAAGCAATCTCTCTCCTTCCCCAACTTAAGTATGATGGAATTGTACTTAACATCAGAGGAGAAAAGTTTAATTGGGTTTTCATATCTATCCACATCTGGAAATGACTTGTGGAGATCTGAGGTTTGTTTTGTCTTGTGCAGATTCTCTTTTACTGAAACAGAGAGGGGGGAATGTTTTTGTTTGCTTGATAATCCATTTCTAAAGAATAAATATTCTGTATTGGTCTTACGTCACTGTTTCTTGTTTTTACTTGAACAACACATTTACATATCCATCATTCCCTGCATACAGCTTTATTATTCTTCCTAGCTGCCAATCAATCCATCTGCTGTTTACATTCCCAACTCTCCTAATATCCTAATTTTATCTGTTCTTTGATTTTACTGGCTTCTTTGAAATTTTCGAGTTGGCCTAAGTATACAAATCTGAATCTTTTTCTTAAATCTTCTTGCAATTTTTGAAGATACTGCCAACATTTACTTAGCTCTGTTCCATTTATGTTATCAAATTCAATTGCAGAGCCTTCTACACTGTTCCTTAAAAACACGTTTGGAGTTAAAGGCATTAAATCTTGAATGTCTTCTGATATGTATGTAAAAGGATGAGAGTTAATGACATTTTTTCAACTTAACTGAGTGTGTATCTTTTCACAATCCAGGCTTGTTCTCCCTAAAATTCTCAATATATCTTTTATAATTCTAATCAATCTTTTTCATCATGCCAATGTTAGAGAGCTGAATATCCATTTAATATTCTTAAAAATGTCATTTTCCTTCACTTCTTTCCAATTTATTTTTTGGAAAATGTTACTAGTTCCTATAAAGTTAGTACCATTAATACTACCATTAGTACCATTACTGAATATATCATACTTGATCTTTTTCTCTAAGCTACGAGTTTCTTCAGTACAAATGCTTCTGTGAACAGAGTAGTAACAACTTCAATGTATATTATTCAATAGATTACGCATATAGAAAAAACGTTATCCATGCCTCGAAGGAATAAAGGTTCAATTTAATCGAAACCAGTAATCTAGAATACTGCAGAATCTGCTACTCTTTCCTCTGGTAAGGATATAGGGTTCACATCAAAACTGGTTACCTTAAAACACTGACCACAATTTTTTATCACATGACAAATCGCACGCCAACATTTGAGAATCCAGAATTGTTTTCTCAGAACTGCAATTAAGGCTTGAATACCTGTATTAGAAATTAACTCGTATTTTTCCTTGATAAACAAGTTAGTAATATAACATGGTTATTGGGAGGAATTATCGGAAATCTAAAATTTCTATTGTCGTTTCTCTGGGAGATTTTTGGCATAGTCCGTACAAGTCCCTTTCTCATTCACAAAAGGTTGCAATGATACAACTGTCTTGTCTCCATGAGATTTCAAACTTTCTTCTTAAATTAGTTTTAAAAGAATTTTTTCCACTTATATATTCATATATTCAAAAGTATTGTTACCAAACACAAGTTCTTTAGGTAAATTGTAGAATTATTTTGTTCAAGCTATCATGTTTACTATCCTTTTATACAAAGAACATCTGTTGTAGAATGAAATCCTCGTATTTATGACGTTAGTAGCTGTTATAGTACATTTTCTTTTCTCTGACTTTATTAGAGTCATCAGGTTGTACTAGTTCATAACAAGTATCAATATTTAAGTTTTCTTTCTAGCCACTGTGGTCCATTTCACCACTGAGCCTTCACCAATTGTTGTATTGTACATCCTTGTGAAGCTGCATCTGTTGGTTCTGTGTACCCGAAACATGATACCAATTATTTGCATGCCTCAGTTTACTAATATTCATTCACTCTATTGGCCATAAAAGTAGCCCAAATATCTTCTTGTTTAATCCAAAAAAGAGCATTAGGGGAATCTGTCCAGTAAAAGATTTTAATGTCCATTAAATGTAAACCTCTCCCTACCACTGCAGCTAGTAAAGCACCAATAAGGCAAGGTAATAATTCTGAGTGAGGTACTGCCACTTTTATTGGAGCTGTTCTGTACTTAGCTTGTACTAGCTGGCAATGTAAGTCTTCATTACTTTCTATCCTAAGAAATATGCATGTTGCATAGGCCATTTTGCTAACATCACAGAATATGTGCAAACTGCATTTTTCAGGTTCATAATATTGAGCGTTTTGCAATCCAGCAAGGAATGTTTTGATTCAAGAATGTTACTATGCCATAAACTAAACTTCTGAGCTTTTCTCTGGTACTTCTCGATTCCATGAGAGTTTCATTGTGCAACATTCTTGCAATAGTTATTTAGGAAGCACAAAGGAAAAAAGAATCCAATCGGATTGAAAATTGCTTGAACTAAGCATAAAATTCTCCTTACTGATGGTACTTCTTGTGCTGGACTATTCTTTGTATTACAGCTGAGAATACCTTCTTTTATGTCCCATACAAGGCTATATAGAAATACAAATTTTTGAATTTTCATTTTCCTTAAAAGAATGTGTAGTTTCTGAGAATGATCTAGACTTTCTCAAGTGTATTGTACTGCCAGCCCCAAAGATCAAATTTACCCTCTGACAATTTCCTTTTCGTTAAATTTATAAACTTCTTCAAAATTGTCAAAACTAGTCATGTATATCTACCATCTTCATCTCGTTCTATGGCTTCTTGAAATTTATCTAATTTTCTCATTACTGTCCATCCTAAATAAGTTCCAACTGCCGTCAATCGACACTTCAGTTTTCTCACTCTGCCAGTCATCAATTTGCTATCAATATTTGTCCCAATAAGAAGTTGTATTTTTGCAGATTGCCTTAGAGGATTCGAATCATAATTATAATCATTCAGCCATATTAATTGTCATCTAAGTTCTTTTATCCACGTTCTTTTTATCACACTTTTTACTGCAGCCTCCATTTTTTTTTTTTTTTGGTCATCAACTTCAAAATTTCATTTACATGTACCCTTTATATTGCTTATTATCATTCAGTATTTTTTATGCCCCTGAACTAATTCTTTACCTCTAAATTCCTACCTCCTACCAACTAATCCTTATCTCTTTTTTTTCTTCACATACTGGTTCATACCTCATATCGGAACTATCTTAAACCCTTGTCTGACCAAACCAGCTATCCTTCAAATATTCGATAGCTTTATTAGTTTTCAGAAGTAGGTGGAAAACTCTATACAAGATCTCTAGGTTTTGATCCAAGTTCTGTACCACTGTAGTAAATACTGGTATTTATCATCCGTATATTCAATATTCTGATCTTCAGGAATTTTTCTAAATATCCTCCAAAGATCCAACCATTCTTTTACTTTGCCAATAAACTTTCTTAATTCACTTTTAGGAAGTTTAAGTTTGTTTAACAGCTTCATTTTTATCTCTAGAAAAAATATAATATCCCTTTAATTAAAGTTCTGTTCAAGCTTAGTTACTTTTGTTTTGAAATATAAAAATTTATCACTATGATTCAATGGTTTCGATTTATTTTTCAAATTAGTCTTTTAGAATATTCGCCGTTTTACTATTCAATAACCTGTTTATACAAAGTATTTATTTTGGTGCCATTTATCATCAAGTTGATCAAAAAGAACTGTAATCTTGTCTAAATCTAATGTATTAACCTTTAAAATTTCATTTAAATTATATGCAGTCTTGGTAAAATTCATTCTTAAACAACCTCTGAAGCATTTAAATCCCTCCACACTTGAAATCGAAAGAAGTGTTATTACTTACTGTCCATAAAGCAAATTCAGACTTCAACAAATATTCATTATAGAATCAGTCATTCATCTTTTAAGAGTAGCACTTTATTTCCCTTCTCTAATAAATTTCATATCAAAACTACCTGGCATCCTGTCACGGACATCATTTTAATGTTAATAAGAGTACAAAAATATATAAAAACGTTAAATCGAATTTACTTTGTACTTACGTTCAATGAGGTTCCTGAATAGATCTTAATCAATCCATTAGTTTCTGTTACAACAAGGAACTTTACCTTTTCCCACAGAATTCACACAAACACACACACAAAAAAAAAAAAAAACTGACTGTTGCATTTTTTTTCATAGTTAAATTATGTCATTCTCAAACCTAAAAAGATCTACATCACTCGAACACTGTTGCTAAGTCCTCTCTAACATTATTTAAAATTATAAACAAATAAATAAGTTTATTTTTCTCCAATTACTAACTACAAAACATTTTACATATCTCATTGAAAACTTAAATATTGTTTTAATCGTGGTCGTACAGCAGCAGACACATATAAAACCATTGGCAGGTGCAATGGTGCCTGTGGTCATAAGGTTGAAAACACCTGATGTAACATAGATTCCCCAAGAGATAATGTAACATCTCTATTACAGTTTCCAAGTTGCAGAAATTATCTGAAAAATGGTGTAAAGGGTTAATACTTTCATTAATATTTAACATAAGAATCCGAGTTTTATTTTCTTTTAAAAAATTATGCACTTTATAATGAATACAAAATCACACTTTAGCTAATTCACACGTAAAAGTAAAGGTGACAAATAGTAATGTGAATTGAAAAAATTAAATACACAGGAACATTTTAAAAATATTAATATGCTAGTGAATTAATAAATCCAAAAGGTACTTTTCTGTTATCAGGGCCACATTCAAAAATATATGTATGCCATGTATGCACACAGACACATACGTGCATATATATAGTTTGACTGCCTCACTTTCTTGCCCTCGAGCATATAAATTATCTCTTTCCGGAGAAGAGAAGACTCGAGCATGACCTTTCACATCACAACAAGCAATTAAATACATTTACCTGATGTTACTTTAATTAAAATAAATTTATTATATATTATAATAATATAACATACATCATAAAATTTAGTTACCTTTTTTATTAATTCAGGTGCAATAATATCATTCACATTAGCAACAGCTTTTAGAACACTTTTGCCGTGATAAGAATTTTTATCTCCATCTCTCATTTCTAAGGCTTCATAAATACCTGTTGATGCACCGCTAGGAACACCAGCACGGAATAATCCTAATTTAGAACATTTGCTTTAAAATCGCATAAAAAAACTTTCTTATAAATCTGATTGTTACTGTTAAGCATCTGAAATATTTCAATAATGCAAACTTAAGATAAAATGATATATAAAATAACAGATTAAATTTTAGCATAATGCTTATAAATAAAAGCCAATCATTAAAACAGATCAATAACAAACAAAATGCAATACTTTTTTAAAAAATACTTTTATGGATAAATGTCATAAACCTTTAATAATTAATATTTTCAAAACCTCCAAGAACAAATTAGAAACAGAACAATTTGGATAATTTGAGTCTGTTTCCCAAACTGTGTTCAGCAACAATGTATGAAACTATGGCTAGAAAACTATGCAACATTGTCTGCTTTTATATATTTAACACAATTTAAAAGAACTCTTAAGAAATATTTAAAGAGAAAATAACAATTCTACTTCCTTTTATGATAACGTATTCGTACCAGACAGGTTTTTCATATACTACAACAAAATTTAAATACAGAAACCAACTTACAGCTGCATCTGATATAAGAATTCAGATTTTTCACCATGTCCTGACATTAGAAGAATTTGCAATTCAAAGGCTCAAATACATCAGCGTCACTAAAAACTAAAAAACGTTCAATTTTTTCGGCACTATTCTTATATATGCCCTTAGATCACCAAATATATTGATATGTGTTCTGCGCTGGTTTTTGGAACAATGTTGTTTGTACGGCAGCCCTTTTGACATTGAAACGATTTTGCTTTCCTGGTTGGTTTGGTGGGCGTTTTGAAATGGCTTATGGCTGTCACCAAAGTTCAAGATTTGGATCATAGTTTTCGTGTAGTAAGTTAACTTTGGAGGAAATTTTGAATCTCAGAAAGGCGTGCGATATAGAAAAATCATGGCACTTTTGTTCACAGACATCGTACGACTGGCAAAATTTTATTCACAAATGTATGCTATTTGTCTTGGAAGATTGGGAGAAAGGGATAAAATGGTGGAAAATTGTTGAGTTTTGTTGATGTTTGAAATTGATATTTCTGCTGTTCGAAGAAGCATTCACAATGGTAAGTGCATTTTATTTTATTGTTCTTATTTTGTAGAATGTTATGTATATTTTTTTTTTAGCTATGAATTTCTGTAGTTATTGTTGTTTTTTGAATTGTTTGCAATTTATTTTATTTTTGATTTGTGCACAATGCTGTGTGCGATGCCTAGATTGTGGAATTCGCTGATGTTTTTTTAAGTTACAACAGAACGCTGTGTACATTGGATTGTTTGAAATTTATTGTTATATTAGTTTATTTTAGCAAGGTGTGCTTAGTTTGTAGATTCCTTTGCTGCATAGATTGTGCAATTTGTGATTTTTTTTAAGTTAAAACATGTCGCTGTGTACATGGATTCTTGTCAAATATTTTTGGTTAGAATCTTTACGTTTTGGATATCTAAATTTTTTGTTTCGGATTTTTGTCATAAATTGTGTGTTAAAAATGTGGTTTTTGCAGACATTTTAGGCTTAGTAAGTTAACTTTAAAGTTGTCTGCACTTTTGAGTTAGTAAGTTAACTCAAAAGTGCAGACAAAAAATTCAGATAGTAATATGCTGCCGTACAGTTTCTCATAAAAAATGTTTGACGAGGAATTTGTCGCCAAATAATTTTTTTTTTTTTTATTTTGCTTATCTATAATATTTTGTTAGCATTTATTATAATTAAAAATATAAATTTACCAAGTTTCTAAAATATTTCAGAATTTAAAAAGTGTTCTGCGATGAGAAAAGTTTTGGAAACGCTGTTTTAAGTATTTTTTTTTTTTTTTTTTACAATAGAAGAACAACACTAGGATTCTTTACTCAGTGTACAAACGCCATTAACCCCTTAATTGCCACGGGCGTATATATACGGCCTTCCATAATGCTATCATTTGCTTTGTGCTGCTACCAGTGAAATTATTCGCAAAGCTTTGTAATGCAATACCACAATGACCTTGACAAAGTATGCAAGGAGGATACTATTTCTAAGAAGGGGGGAGACCTAGAGAGGGGGACGTTTCTGAAATGCTGAAAGTAATGACTGTCCAGTTATTGGTCGTGTTCCTGTTTGAGTGATACGCATGTTTTTATCGAGTCTTCAGTTTTTGTTTACTGTTTGTAGTAGGTGCTTTTTTTTTAATGAATATGTACGACAGTGAAATAGACGATTACTTCAGAATTGGACACCTCAGAATATGATATTATGTCGGATGAAGAGTGCCGAGACTATTCTCCGCATGATGCTCAACGTTGAGTAGGACTTGATATGAAAAACTGGCTTATGCCGCCTCCATACTTTCCATTTAGGTAGGTATACTAATTTCCCAAGGTATATCATGAAAACCTGATATTACACATTACTGGTTTAAAAATAAATTGATCGAAACTCCATTTTGGGAATCTTTTAGATTATCTTTTTTTGGTACTTTTCCATTTCGCCTGCGCAAATCTCGCCAAGCAGACTTTATTGGCGACAACATACAATATCGACAAATAAAAAATGTTAATGAATGTTAGTTCTAAGAATTTATTTTAAGGACAACATTTTGGGGAAATTGCAGAATTGCCCACTGCTTGGCACGTTTTTAAGAATTGCACACTTGATATCCATGTACACATCGATTTGTTTTCACTTTAAAAAAATATCCCAGAATTGCACAAAAATTGCATTGTGCACTCCCTTGACGTTATCCATGTACATATCGACCTATTTTCACTTAAAAAGTCGAAGAAAATTGACACAAATCCAATTCTTTGTACTCTTCTAAAAAGCGGCAACCAAACGCCAAAAAAATATGTGGGCGATTCTGCACTTTATCCGAGCTTTCATACAAATATCATATTTGCGTATTCTTTTCGGTAATTTTCTGTTATCCGCACCAGATTCAGAACTGTATGTATGTATGTATACATATGCCAAAAAAAAGTCAAAGAAAATGGACAAAAATCCAATTCTTCTTACTCTTTTAAAAAGTGCCAAACAAATAAGTGGTCAATTCTGCACTTTAGCCAACATTTTAATACAGTTTAAAATTTTGTAAAAAGCCAATAAATTTGTAAAAAAGACGTTAATTTAAGAATTTACTACGCTTTTATGGTTCAACATCCTGATTTGCTGGTTCATATCACTAGTCCCCAAGTGATCTCATCTCACATAAACTACACTACAAAAATCTAATTCGCTCAGTAATTATCTACATTAATTTCAAGTTAAATCTTAATTTGGAATACAAGTTTAAATGCAATAATTATTTCAATTCGTACGAATTGCTTACTCAGAAATTATGTAAAACCGCAGTGCTTTACTTCGCTAGTGCATCCTCATTAAAATTGATGAATTTAACCCATGACTTTGCCTTTTCTATATTTTCACCTTCGGGTGAGCAGTGTGACTGCATTCTAATTGACGTAATTACTGCGAATGGTCTTGGGGCATAAAATTGAACTATCTGGTAAAAATTCTACGTAATCGTATGCCAGTATTGAAAGAAGAAATCAATCTGATAACAAATAGCTGCGATTTATTTTGAAAGTGACGCATAAAAGGTTACCAGTGAGGATATTCTGTTTGGCATCAATTGTACCATTACTGGTGTAACTATTGCTTGCGCCATCAAAAAGTACCCCTTTTTTTTTTATACTTGCATCTTTTTTATCACACTTTTACTCTAAACAATAAATTTTGTATTTTCATTTTTTCTTTTATTCTTTATTTTGTGGAATTACTTGGAAGTGCAGGAAAACTTGCACTTATTTCCACCCTAATACATTGCATAACTATGTGCACCTGTGTAAAAAAATGGTACTGGGGAGTGAATCTTTTATGCTTTCTGCAGCAGTTAAGGGGTTAAGAAATCAGCCAATATCAAAAGTGTGAGAAGTGAGAACATTACTTCTCACTCTTTTGAGAGTGAGAACATTACTTTTTTTTTTTTAATTTGTAATACAAAGAAATCTTGCAAGATGATAAATAATATCATTTAGCAATGATGATAATGTAACACAAAAGGTTTGAAAATTATATGAAATATCTGATAAATGGCTTAGGATTGGACATTCAAATCAGTCCCTCTAATCTTGGAAAAAGATTCAAACAGTCTAATATTTGTATTTTTTGCATGTGAATTCAAATTTTAACTTAAAACTTTAGAAAGACTACTTTGTTAAATCCAGCAGAAATATTAATAAAAAAGAATACGAATACTGAAATTTCAGTGGATCTAAATCCATTATCTTGTGGCTGCCAGAGCACACTTTCATTTTCCGGAGAAAACTCAGCTGTTACTTCATTTTTTTAAAAATTATATAGAGAAAATGAACTTCAAGGATTTAATTATGTACTTCATTTACTAAATTTCATTTGTATCTTAATAAATATAGTTGTATTTTGGAAACTTTCATTAAAGACATTTGCTTTAAAACCTTTTATTTAAATTATTATTATTACATGAAGATTTCCAGAGAAGATTCGATTTGAAACTTAAAACCTAACTTAAGCATTAGCAATCACACATGTGAACATAATGAAAATTTAAGAATGTCTACAATGACATTTAATTATTCAAAATATATGATATGAATAAGTACTACCTTAGTGCAGCTAGAATTTTTTTAATGATATTTTCTAACATCTTTTTATTAATATATTTCATAGATTAATTTCATTCCATGGGAATATATATATGTTCTATCTATGGTAAATAATGTTAATTACATAATAAAACTAATGTTAGGAGCATAGATCCTAGAATTCTGAAAATCTGTAAATTTCATTTAACCTTTGTTAATACAAAAATCTTTACCTTTTTCTGTGACAACATCAACTTCAACTGTTGGGTTACCACGGCTGTCAAATATCTGCCTAGCATGAATTTTTGAAATTGGCATGATGAAGTAATCTAAAAATAAGATTTAAATACTATAATAAAAGACAATTTTACATAAAACATTATGTTTATCTGGAGTAATATATATTTTCAATGCAAATAATAGCTTTTAAAATAATTTTATGATAGAGACATACGAAATAACCAAACTTATATTTTAAAAAATAATTCAGTTGACTATATGCAATACTTATACTTTGTAGATCTACTACAAAAATAATTATCCGTGAATAAAAAAAACTGGGTTTTCTGCATAATTAAGGTTAAATGCAATTGCAGTCAATTGCCATGAAATAGCCATGAAAATGGAACTGATTAAATCGTGACGACAAAATTTCTAATCTGTGCTTGTGTTAACATTTTTTTAATTCATGAAATTTGTTGCTGTTAAATAAAGTTTTTCATTGCTAAAACTTCCAATATGTTTACTATTTTCAATTTCCTATACAGCTAGCTTCCCCCCCCCCAAGAAAAAGGCATTTTATCTTTTGAAAGAATTTGTGAAAATAACCATATTATGCAACCATGTTGGGAATGAAATAGTCTGGAGATAAAAAATCAGCAGCTTCAAAAAATAGGAAGCTGCCTATTTACGTGGCACACAGTTTCAGAATATTTTTTATAAGAAAATTTTCCTTTCCAGCATTACAGATCATGCATCACTGGAGTGAAAATTCGATTTCAATTCGATGGTGTGACAAACAATTTATCTTGTTATAGGTAAATTTGTACTTAATTATATGACTCCTTTTAAATGAATTTATTCAAACATATAATAGGTAAAATCTCTCATGGTTGATTTTTATTTTTAATACAACAACGAAACTGCTGCACACAGAAAAAAAAAAAATTTACATGGCTTGGAGCATCACGCATGTATTAAAAAAGCAGTCATGGATGCAATATCACTTCCATCTTTTAAATGAACGGCATTACAATCAAAACTTCTATTCAACATCAGTATAAATTAATATAAAGTACAACTGTTCTTAGCATACCAAATAAATATACCAAGTTACACAAGAATAATATTAAATTTTAATAAGCCAGAGTTCACATCCAGTTCTACTGAAATTTAACAGGTAATCTAACACTGCTACAATTTCTAATGGTTATCTCTCATGGCTGTCAGATTATTTGGAACCAAGGGATGTTCTGACTTCAAAAGCAATGACAGTCAATATATCTAGATCAGAAACAGTCAGAACCTGTTGTATGGTTGGTAATTTTGGATCTGAAGTAATAGCAGTGTCAGTATCAGAAAAAACTGAATTACATTCTATCTCCAATGGATATATTTTCCAAAGCGGTTGAACTATCTCTTTAAGTTTCAGTTTTACCACTCGGATGTTACCATCTTTACCTGAATTAAGCTCTAATGCCTCTGCCAGCGGTCAGAAAGTTTGCCTTTCGAAATCACTCTCAATAAGAACTATATCACCAATGTGGATTTGAATACATTTTTCACCCTTTTTGCATTGTAGCAGTTGTCCGAGATACTCCAAATGAAATGACTTTCCAAAATTGTCTCTCAATACTTGAAGGTACCTTCATTGTTTCTTTAAATCATGTTTGTTAATCAGATCAAGTGTGTTACACTAGCTGTCTGAATATTCTACAAACACATAGAAGGCATCAGTAGAATCAATTCATCAGGATCTTCAGAAATATATGTCAAAGGCCTTGGATCAACAACAGCATCACATTCGCATAAAATACTCATCAACTCTTCATAATTTAATGAAGCTTTTCCTAAGATTCATCTTAAAAGACTTTTCACAATTCCAGTGAGGCATTCCCAACACCACCACCAAGCAGCTGAGGAAAAACTGAACTTCCATTGTATTCCTTTATGCATTATGTCTTATTTTATAACAATAAATAAATTGAAATAAATTTGCTATGCCAAGAAAATTCAAGCCATTGTCACAATAGATGATTTTTGGATCATCACATTGAGCAATAAAATTCCAAAAACTGAGGGGAAAAGCTTGTTGATAAAGATGTGATTAACTCTAAATGACAGAACGATACTTGCAAAAGTTTATAACACAATTCATGCTATCAAATTATTCATGCAATATCAAAGGTCCAGCAAGATCAACTTCTGTAGCTTCAAAAATTGAAGCATCCATAATTTAGTCCTCTGGCAAAGGTACTAGTGCAGTTTTTAGAGGTTTGGAATTGTGTCTTACATTTTACACATCTTTGGACTGCTTGGTAAACTGATTTTCTTCCATTAATAATCCAGAACTTCTGTAAACAAGATAATAAAATTTATATTCCAGGTACATCATTTTCAAAAGCATTTCCCTGATAAAAAGCTCTACCATTTGATGCTTTACCAGAAATAATAGGAAATTCGAAGTCTTGTGCATTATTTCTCTCCATTGCCTTAATTCTATAAATTCCTTCTTTATCCTTGAAGATATTTAATGACTTCAAACAGCTCTTAAGACATTTTGGATTTTTTTAATACTCTTCTCCACTTTATTTATAGTTAGATCACCTTTTCTTAGATCATTTCTATTCTTTGAAATCATTCTCAAAATCAAGTGCAACATTCTGATAATTTCTGTATAACTTGAAAAGATAAAAATTTGTCACATTAAATTCATTTATCACCAAAGTAATATGTTTCAATTTTTCTTTTATGACTTCATTTTTATCACATTATCTCTAATTTCAGCTAATTCTTCTCATCAAGTCGAAACCATATGGGCCTTTCCCACCATTTTGACAAAAGGAGTTTTGTTGCTGAACATCCTCTTGAAAATAAATCATCTAGATTATACGGTTCGGGAATGTGTTTCCAATCAACCTATCATACACTTTTTTGTACAAATTTTCCCCAGGCATTACTTTCGGTTATCCACTGTAAGCTACAGTTGAATCTGTCTAGAAATATTCAATGATGTTTTGATGTTTGACGCTTGTTTTCACAAATTCAGCTATACATGAACTGAAACAACAAGATAAAAGTTCTTACCTGAATACAGGTATTTCCTGCAAAGGCACTACTTTCGATTTTGGCAACAATAACTGTGCAGAAACTCTTTGGTTATGATGACATCTTAAGTAAACAACAGCAGCACAAGAAATGCCACAGGCATTTGAAAAGTTGTGTAGAATCACTTCTGAGCACTAAGTATGAAAGACATAGCAGATGTAAATTCTCTACCTATTTTAGAAGTTTTGTTTTAATATCATCAGGTATCTCCGAATTCCACCCAGCTCAGTTCAGATTTCTAGACTGCCTGAAGCATAAGTTTCAGGGTACTTATGTATTAACAAGACCGCAGCTGCAGATTTGGCGGTTTTTAAGTGCCGGCAATCTATACCTAAAATTTTTGCGACAAATCATAAATTAAAACACTTTATTTAAAATAGAAGTAGTCAATCAAATTTCGGTGGAAAATGGGCCAATATAGAGTTTAACATGCATTCAAAACAGTTTTTTTTTTTTTTTTTTTTTTTTTTTTTATCTGATGCTGTCGCCATATGAACTCTGCTAAATAAAATTCTAAATGATGTCTCTTGTTCCTCCATTTAGCACTGCCCCAATTTCTTTCATCTGTTTGTGTATGAACTCCTGTATCAGAATCAATAAAATTGTATTCATGATTTAGCATGTAGGAATCCTTTTTCTATTCTATTTGTTTGCTAACCTTTCCAACTGTCAGAAGAAATTTTTGTGCTACCATCTGCAATGTTTTCAATAATTTTATTAAGAAGGTTAGAGCCAGTTCTATTAGGAACAGTGAGAACAAACGAATCTTCTGTTTCTGTACATATACCACCAAACACCCACTGTTTTGGTAAAACTCGACCACAATTATTTTTACGCTTAGTAAACAAACTTTTATCAATTTCCACAATGCAAGCTGGTCCACCTACCTTCTTGTTTCATTTATTCTCCATATCCAAGACACATAATTCATGCAGTAATTGTTCCAATCTATAACAGTTTTATCCAAAAAATCAAGTTGCTTTTCACAAAATTTAATCGACGTCAACTCCTCGCACCAGCAGTATATGAATATCAAAGCTGAACAAAATGGAATTCTGCTTCCTTCAAACCAGATATCTTTTCTAAGTCCCACTTGCTGATCACACTGTCTTAAATTACATTTCCAAAACGTACATTACCAAAATAAAGTTTCATATCATGCGAATTGGTACATTTTTGTTTTTTTGGTAAAATATTTTGCTCCTGAAAAAATAAAATTGCATTTTCTTCTGTATTAGGCAAATCCCAAAGATGCATTGTCATAGCACTAAAAAATGACATCAAAAATCAACAAACAAGGGAAAAGAGAATCCAAATGATAACTGCGAGTGAACAACAGGATTGCTCTTTATTGGCACATCAGCACAACTTCTGCGGCAGTGGCATTAATAAATAAGTGCAGTGGCCTTAATACGTAAGTACCAGTTTCAGTAACAATGTAACTGGACAAAAAAATCCAACTGGATCAAAAATCTTTTGTATGAAAATAAGTATGCTCTATTTTGTACCAGTGCTGATTTTTATCTATGGTTGTAAAGCAAAACAGCATTGAAGACATCTTTGAATTAACACATAAATTATCAGAAAATCCTTTTGATTCTTGCATACTGATTATGCTCCCACCCTCTTAGGTTAAATTTAGCATCTGTCGTAACTTTTGTTGAAATCTTTAAATTGCTTTAATTCTTCTCTTTAACTGAGGCAACAAAACTGTACATATAAAAGGAAGTATCAAACTTTGAACTTTACTAGGGAAAGATATCGAGTCAAGGGAGAAACATACTTTTTTTAAATGAAATTGTAAAACTGTACTTAATAGAAAACCGACTGCTATCTAAGCCAAAAATAACTCTACAGTGTTAAAACACCTTTATCTGCCTATCTCCCATCCACCAGAGAAATTTCCCACATTCAAGATTTTGTTTTGCTTATTAAATTTAGACAAAAGCTTTCTTCATACCAGATATCACTCCAAATTCCTCTTGATGAAACTTCACGAGTACTTCGGAATTGGTTCTAAATAGATATGGCTTTCAATAAATAATAATTTAAAGACTTTCTTTTTGTTTGTTCAGAGGATACACTGAACACAGGGCAGACCTTTCTTGCAAAATTTTTTTTGAATACCTCACAGTGAGGCAAATTGTACCCAGGACCTTTTACACCTTCTTCAATAACATCATCAGCTAGTTACGGTCTGACTACACTGTCATACTGCATTGTATTTACCATCTGTTTTCAACTTGGAAGTAATAAAATTTAAAAGATTTTCTGTTATTTCTGTATTACTTGCTAGGTCCACTTTACTTTCTACCCAGAGAAAGTAAGGTGGAAGACTTTTACACCTTCCATCATTAATACGAACAGTACTTAAAATGTTTATTTTTCTGCTAATGTGGATTGATAATATCCATTGCTTCAAGATTTCACAAATTAATGATATCATCACTTCGAACTAAGAGATGCGACAACAATCAACCCACTTCTCTTCTAGTTATCCCATTATCAAATGTGTCTTGATAGCAATAAAGCCATATTTTAACTGAAATATCAAAATAGAGCAAAAGGTTTTCCTCCATAATCACTCCTTATCAACAGTTCTATATGAGGAGAATTCATACCATTCAGTCCATGGAATTTTTAGGCATAACATTTATGATTTCTTCCTAAAATATTACCACCAAACACTATTATTTAGAAACTCTTATCTTTACGATTTTAAGTTTTCCAACCAGCAAATTCAGGATGCAAGACTGTTGGGCACCATTGTCAATAAGAGCTCTGATCATTTTCTACATACTTCTACTGTAATTAGCAACAATGGCAGAAAAACCTCAGCAGAAGCACTACAATTTGCGAGCATTGAATCTGAATCACATTAATGCTCATCTTCTGATTAAGCTCTCAATTTATGCTTCATCTCCGATCACATAATAGACCAGTATTTCTTACCACAAATAATGCATTGAACATGTTTTTTAGTTTCTTGATAAATGACCTGGCTTCAAACATGAAAAACAACTTTCATTTCTCTTCAAAATATTTTTTTCTTTTAGTAAACAATCTTTCATCTAAAGAGACTTACCACAAAATAAACAATGCAAAACAATTCCTTTCTTTACATTAGAAAGTAAATCATTAGCTGCAAGACATGATTCAACATCTCTCAATTTTACCTTTCTCATGGAAATATTCGGTTTAATCCTTACTTATGTAAGTGAAATCAATTCTTTGCTTTCAACTTTTGTACAATGAAACACCAATAACTGTGACAATTTATTAGAATAGCAACTTTTACATTTGTTCAACACGGAATTCCTCACCCAAACTCTAAGTAATTCTCCCCAAATTCAAGATTCAACTACAATGCATAACAAAAACTTTTCTCTTGCCAATGGCATTTTCTCTGTATAACATAGACTGCTATGAAACGAAACTGTCAATATAAACATTTCACTAGAACCATGCTTGTAAGACAAATTTAAATAGCTGAATATCCACAATACAACAGCAAACAAACATACAAATTTTCATTTAATTTCTTCTTTCATTCATTAGAATGTTCTCAATACAAGAAGTAATAAGGAAAGGGCAGCATTTTTCTATTTTATCATTCTATACTTGCATACACAATAAATGAAGCCTGAAGACCTACATTTTAAGTAGAATGTTACATATACAGACTTTTTTTGGTAACATAACAATGAAGAAAGAAGTAATGCGCTGACATGATGCTGCTAATTTTGTTCAGTTTTATTAGAAATCTTATCAAAATAAATGCTTTAATAATCAATCATTTTTCCTTTTAAAATGGAGTTTTTTCATTCAGTTAACAGACATCAGAATTTTACGTACAGCGAACTTCAGATATAAGCCTTTTTTAAACTGATGCAGTAATGAAACAAAATAAGAATTCTTGAAATACTTTAAAAAAAAACTTGTACAGGCTCATGAGAGGGCATCTGAAAGATAATGAAAGAAGCCTTGCTCATATCTTTTTAAATGTTTAGCATAATTTATAGCTAGATGACACATTTCAAGATGGTGATAGTCATGAATTTGAAGGTTTTCAGACATTAAAAGTAAAAAAGGAAAATTTTTTGATTAACTGGAGATTTGAAGAAATGTCATATGAATGTGATATAATTGAAGTTTCACAAAGCAATAACAATGCTCTAATCATCAGTCAATTAAAAGAATGGCAATATCTGTCGAATGATATTAAATCTACAAAACAGAGCCATTTCGACATCAAGTTGCATTTTAATTTCATCAGGAGGTTAACTTAAAAACATAATTCTGCTTTTTAAGGAACATTTTTTCCTAAAAAATAAGATAGCTACTTGTTCATCTTTAGGTAAATCTGAAATCGTGAAAAAATGCATTTAGGGAGACCCCTCCCCCCCCCTAAAAAAAAAAGAAATCACTATTAGATGAAAAGGGGAAAGTGCAGAATCACCCACCGCTTGGCACGTTTTTAAGAATTGCACAAACTCTATCCATGTACACATCGATCTATTTTCACTTAAAAAGTCAAAGAAAATCGACAAAAATTCCATTCTTCTTACTCTTATAAAAAGCGCCAAAGAAATAAGTGGGCGATTCTGCACTTCGTCCGATGAAAAACTTTCAGCATAAACCAAATTGATGATACCTGAAGCTGAATAAGTATGCCTTCCTCCAAAAAAAGCTCATGCAAATACAAGCCCCAGGCTAACCTTTTTATTTCAAACAAGGACATAAAATGGTACTGCTGGTGCAACCACCTTATGCCAATTCTGATAAAGCAGCAGTAATTTTAAATTAATAAATAACTTATTACAAGTTTAGAGATTAAGTTGCAAATTTTGCTGCCAGTTAACTTATGCACTTTTACAGGGAAGTACCAGTAAAGCACGCTTTACATTACTGCAATAATAAGAAAGTCCTCAAATTAACTCTTTAACACTTTCTTTTGTTATCAACAAGCATACCGAACTGCAGATTATACAAACTCTTAAGAGTTCCTCCCATTTTAATTCTAGCCCTGGAAACTAATTATACAACAACAACAAAAGAATAGTTTTTCACTTAATCTTAATATCTGCTCACTGGCTTCTACAAATCTAAAGCTCCAACAAAATACAGACTATACCTACACTACCCGAATTTCTTCAATCTCAAATTTAACTTCCTTCAAATAAGTCTTATGCTATATTACAAACATTCGATACGATAAAGAATCATATAATTTTTAAAGAAACAGGTTTCAGTTACAATTCTGATACACTTTTTACCCATACATATCACTGAAATGCCAGAGACACAAATTTCATGAAAAGGCTTCTCTTCTTATATTTTAATTCTTAAAATTAATTAATTGAAACAGTTTCTATTAACGCTGAGCATTTTCAAAAGCATTCATCAAGACATTAAGGTGCTTAATGTAAATAAAATACAATTAACTTACTAAGAATACAAACAATGCTTAACGAATACAATTTAGCCAAATAAATTATAAATTCGGACAATTTAAACGATTATATCATTTAAATGATTTATCTCACGTGCACTACCAAACACAGCAACCGGTAGTGTCATTCGCAAGGTCATACAAAGTCAATCATACAGCCGCAATATGTCTTAAAGAGTACCATAAAATTTAAAAACAATGCATTTTAGACAAATTTCTTTTTATAACGGCATATTAACAAAGAAATTTTAAATTCGGACAGTTAAAATTCTGCATATGATGCCTTACAATTGCAAACGCGGGATTTCACCTGAACTCCGAACGACGTACAACTCTAACACCGGAAGAGCAAATGCGAAACTTGAAGGGCAGACAGCAAAGAGGTCGAAATTGATTTCAAATAAATAAAAAAAAGGGAGATTTCATGTTGTCTTCTTACATGTCGTCTGAGATGCGTGCTGCACTTATGATAGAGGAAGAAGGAAATTAAAAAATGTATCGCATAATTATAAAAAACAATGACATTTTTTAGAATACTAACAAAATCTTAGTACCTTTTTTTTTAAATTTTTACACTTAAATGCATTTTAATATTGATATTATACTAAAAGAAACAACTAAATATGATAAAATCATAAAATAAATTCAGCGTAAATAATAATAAGAAATACAACAAATATTTAAATAAAGAATTTTTTAGCACTTGAAAACTAGAAACGTTTGTCTTTATTTGTTGTCAAATCGAATTGTCTAGCCGTCCCGACGTCAGACGGTTAACCAATCCAAGAACTCCGAAAACTACACCACTAACACTCACTACTGCGCCATTCGTTCACGAGCCGCCGATCAGTAATGTTGCTGCTTTCTGGTAGTTCTGTTCTGGTTCAAATCCCGGGAGAAAAAGTTGGCTGCATGATTTTCCTTATATGTAGCAAGTATGGAAGCCAGTTTTCAGAAAGTCCAAAACGAGTGCAACTCTCTCTGTAGGCAGATAGTTCTGGAGTGCTTTTCCATAATTAAATAAATCAAACTAAATCTCCACGCTGAAAAATAATCCTAAAACTTTTGTTAGGAAAGAAAGCGCATGCGCAAATTTCAAAAATATATCTCTGCGCTACTAGTCGGACGCTTTACTTCAATAATTGCGTGGCTCTCACTATAAAGAAAAAGCAAACGCCTTTGCAGAACATTTTGAAAATCAGTTTAAACCGAACGAGAGTCCTTGTGACATAGACTTCGCCTATGATGTAAGATTCTGCATTAATGACTGGTTTACCTCACAGGAAGACTTAGAAGACAATCTGGAACTCACCTCTCCACATGAAATCCAAGAAATCATACGAAAACTAAAAAACAGGAAGGCTCCGGGCTATGATGCAATAACCAACCTAGCGATCAAGAACTTACCGAAAAATTGTATTGCAAGATATGCCAGTATTTTAAATGCTTGCATAACTATCAGATACTTTCCGCTTGCCTGGAAAAGAGCCAAAATGATTGTCTTACCTAAAGCCGGCAAGGTTACCACTCGCCCAGAAGGAGTTAGACCTATCAGTTTGCTTCCCGTTTTGGGGAAAATTTTTGAACGCATCATTTATCACAGAATCCATCCATACTTAGAGAAACTACCAGAAGAAAAGTTTGGTTTCTGAAAAACGCTTTCCACCACGAAACAATTGGTCAGACTTTCTGAGTTCATCGGCAGTGCATTACATAACAGACAAAATGTGGCTTTACTCATGCTAGACGTGGCCAAAGCTTTTGACCGCGTCTGGCACGAGGGTCTAATTTTCAAGCTCCGTTCCCTTGGCTTCACCAAAACTTTAACGTGTCTCATCTATTCATTCCTGAAAGGCAGAAGTTTTCATGTTTCTATTGGAAATGAGATATCTGAAGTCAAAAGAATTCACGCCGGTGTCCCGCAAGGGTCAATTTTAGGTCCGATCTTATAACTTTTCTTTGTGACTGACTGCTCTAAAACAGGCTTTAACTACAATTACTTCATTGGCTGTTATGCAGATGATACGGCGTTTGCTGTAAAATCTATGTGTCCTAATCAAGCTGTCAGGAAACTTCAACAAATCATGCCGCAAATAGAATTTTGGTGTACCAAATGGCGTATTTCATTTAACGCAGATAAATCCAAGCTGCTCATTATCCGAAAGAAGAACTCTGCCACTGAAATCACGGAAAAGCTTAAACTATTTAATACAGAAGTTCCTGGAGTACGCAAGGCGAATTACCTTGGCGTTATTATTAATGATAAATTTTCCTGGAAGGATCACCTGACTCATGTCAGGGGAAAAACACTAGGAGTCATTCAAAGTCTCAACCCACTTATTAACGAGCACTCTAAACTGGACTTAAGAAGAAAACGGCCCTTATACATCTTTGTTATACAGCCAATCTTCACGTATGCTTCCCCTGCGTGGGCATCAGTTAGAGACAGGGACATATCTAATTTACAAATTACACAGAAAAAGTTGCTGCGCACCTTCACGAATGCGCATTATTTTGTATCTAATAGGACTTTACACAAAGATTTGAAAATTGAAACTGTCATAGAGCATCTTCATCGCCTAAACTCCAGTTTTTTCCAGAAAGCAGTTATATGCCCTCACATGACAAAATTACATGTATTTAACTACATTCCACTACCGGAAGATAAAGAGTTACGACCGCTGGCAGTCCACCTAGCCAGAGATCTGAACTATCCTACATAAAGTAGAACATTCCTGTATATAGTTGTACATATTGTATATAGCTTTTATGAATACTTTTCTTATTATTTCATCGAAACTTCTATATGATTTCTGATCTTCCAAACTGCATTTTTGTCACTGTAACTCTATATTTGCAAATGTATGCCTTTGAGAGTTTGTATTCTTACAAACTCGTTCTGTCATGTAGTATACTTTCACAGAATCTTATCTTAAAAACTCATTATTGCTTTACCTTGCACAGCTCCGTCTGCTGCACGTCTTCTTGTCTGGCCTAATTCCTAGGCTTGCGGCATCTTTCTCGCCTCCCTTCTGCCTCACCTCATTCTCTTAACTCCTACCACGTCAGACTTCCTACCGTCATGTGCCTACTGGCTCTCCTCATGAGCTGGAAACAGCGCGCTTCGCGCGCTACTCCAGCCAGCCATACTTGTTCGGATCGGATCGGACTAGTCGGACGCCTAGCATATCCCAAAGAATCTGTAAGGATTACAGATTCTTTGCATATCCTCTGTGGATACTCCTTGGGCTAATCGCCCGACGTCGGACGTGTAGACACTTTAGTGAAATTGCTGGCAGTGTGACGTACGGTGTAAACACTATTTGCAAAAGTACTGTAAAAATTTCTTTATCAGAAATATCTTTGATAAAAATAATTTAACACGCTGCATCATAATTCCGTCTTGATCCCTTTCATTTATCATATATCTTATTTATTTTCTTACTGTAACTTCTAATAGTTAAATATACGTATTAAACATACCGGTGTATGTATGACATTTAATTTTGTGTTAGATACTGTAAATTGTTTTAATAATTTTTGCTTTTTCTGTAAGTGAGCATTTTATTAATGCCTTAAATACTAATAGTATTTGTGTATTTTAAGAACATGATTTATTTTTAAATGTGCTTCAGACTAGCTACAAGGGCTCGCATTTGTTTTCCGACACTTGTGTTTTTGAGTTTTATTTTCAAAAATAAGCTATTAAATATTTACGAATGGCGCTTTGTTTTTCTTTCACATATACCCTTGATCATCTTTTTTAAAACCTGTTTGTTTTCAAAAAAGTCATTTAAAATGTTTTAGGTATAAGAAATAGTTTATTCAAAAAGTTCTGAAAAGGAATTAACATAAGTATTTGGACACTTTGAACAAGCATTTTATATTTAATAAAAAGATAAAAATAAGGGAATATTCAATACTTCATTGCTATGCTTTCAAATGAAACTACATTTTTAATGCAATTTAGCATGCATTTAACTAATTTTTATGTGAGAATGTTCCATTCATCTTTAAGAACTGTATTTTATAAAGTGTTTGGGAAAAGTGCAGAATCACCCACTCCTTGGCGCGTTTTTAAGAATTGCACATAGTCGCTATCCATGTACACATCGACCTATTTTCATTTAAAAAGTCAAAGAAAATTGACACAAATCCAATTCTTTGTACTCTTCTAAAACGCGGCAACCAAATGCGGAACAGTTTTAGTATTGGTCCTTTTGGCGATTTTTTTATTTGGCGACAAACTTCGGTCGCCAAGGTAGACCCGGTTTTGAAGATCGGAAAAAAATGGCGGATTATCAACAAAACCCGATCTAGACTAAATAACAATACTAAAAAATAAGCTCTTAATCAGAATAAACAGTCTTTCTCTAATTTTCAATATTTCTAGTACTGCTATGATAAATTCTTGAAACACTACCGTAAATGAATTTATGACAATTATCATGTTATGACTAATGAAATTTACAAAATGTTAATATTTTTAATTACAAAATATAATGTATTAAACATTAATATTTTTAGTAGTTAGTTCATATTTATATTTTATTATATTAGTACTTAACTAATATTTTAAATTTACAAAAGGTTAATTTTTATGTTTATGAATAATGAAATTTACAAAAGGTTAATAAATGCATTTCAAACTAGTATATGTTACTTTAGTTTCTTAGATTCTGTTTAAAAGAAAATAAAAAAATATTTCAAAGTGAAGGAAGGAATCAATTCAATTATAATGGCAAGTTTTGTACCAGTGTTAGAAATATTTTTTATGATTAAATATTGTAAATGGGTTTAAAAATATTAAGAAATGTGTATTTTTAATCCCTCAATTTATTACAAGTAATTTATGATTATAATTTAAAAGCTAAAATTAAATTATCATAATGAGTAAAATTTTGTACCAATGGTAATAATACAACAATCATCGTAAATGATGATTTCTGTTGAAAAATTCGAACAGTCATTGGAATCCACTAGTGGTGGAGTGATAGCCACTGAACAGTGGTAGTTCAGGCTGGCTATATGGAGTTTTAGTAGTTTTCCGTAGATGTAATGTGAATCTGAGCCAGTTTCTCTTAAAAGTACTTTATGAAGGCATCCTTCTTCTGCTAGCCAGCATATGTATTTATTTTCTATTCATAATTCTCTCTTATTTCTTAATTCTAAATCTTACTTTGAGAGAAGAAGGTTTTGCATCTATAGGTCAAAAAATATGGTCAATATGTTTGCAAAATCTGTCAGTTTTGGAAAAAATTTAAATAAAACTAAATAATTTGTATATGCAAACAAAAGTGCATTACACTATTTCATGTACTGAATAATTAATCAAGGAACAAAGTATATTGTAACGTTCCTTTATTTTGTAACCAGAGTTATTTTATTCTTGGGATCTTTACTGTCAATTTCCTCCATCCATTTTCTCACCAGAATCCAAATGAAGTTTTTATTTTATAAAACAAACCGTGTTTTGGCCTTTTGAGGCCACATTAATAGGCTGCTAGATAAGAAAAAAAAAAGATTTGTAGTCTTCAGCCTTGCATTATAATTGCTGATAGTTGAATTCCATGCCAGTTAAGTTTTTAACCAACTTTGCATTAAATAGATTGTGCAGCCTTTGGGCTACAAATTATTTGAATTTAAATTTTACATTTGAACTTAATGTTATCATAAGTTATCTTGCCACAAGTGGTTAACCGAGTCGTAAGTACAAAGTGTGCCTTCTGTTCTGTACTCTAAACTTTATAATAGAATAAAAGTATATCTTAACTTAATAAGAATATGTCTAAACTTTATGACAATAACATTTAAAGACATTGAAATCAGTATCTAAGTGCTTGCCATGTAGTCAAATTTTTATATATAAATTGTACTCTTACTTTTATTATAGAGTTTTTATACAAAAAATTCAGATTTCTGTTAGATAAAATGTTTAAGTAATGTAGAAAAATTTGCATAAAATTTAAAATAAAAAGTCGACTGTTATGTCAATGTACTATTAATGAAAAAGTATAATACTCAGTGAAGGTTATTCATATGCAGCTTTAGGTTGTAAGATTTAAAAAATTAGAGAACTCTAAATTATAAGCAATATATTCCATAATCTAAGCAACATTATATTTTTATAGTCAGACAAAATTATGAAAATGTTATAAAAGCAATAATGAAACATGATTTAAACCTATGAATTCATCAATTACACATCCATATAGTTCTAATATGAGGTATACAAGTATTTTTAGACCATGGTAATTTTGATCAAAGGAAACACCAAGAGTTTACCTCATGCTACTGAAAATGTGTTTTTTTTTTCCTTGGGGGGGGGTGGTTTATAATAATATGCAGAGTTGACATATGAAAAAATGTCAAGATTCATGTGATGTAATATTAAAAGCACTAGTTTTAACTATCAAAAATTTGGCTTTTTAAAAAATATTTTAAATGTTGTGCTTTCCTAACACAAAAGTAACTTTAAGAAAAACACACAATTTATCCCTCCTGCCATCAAAGCTCCGATACCTATCAAATTCGTTAAAGTTACGTGGACAGAAATGGCAGCTCAGTATTTAGGGTTACCAAGGTTATCATAATTTTTCATTTATCGCTCCATAATGTCGCCAAACAAATTTTTCGCCAAAAAGGACTAATACTAAAGCTGTGCCCCAAAGGCCAAAAAAATATGTGCGCGATTCTGCACTTTATCCGAGCTTTCCTAGAAATATCATATTTGTGTATTCTTTTCGGTAATTTTCTGTTATCCGGACCAGATTCTGAACTGTATGTATGTATACATATGCCAAAAAAAAAAGTCACAATTCTATATCTCCCGTTCTACTGGGCCGATTGACAAAATTCAAGTTGCGTTTTTCATGTCTCGAAAGCGCGAATTAGTACAGTCAAAAATCATTAATCCGGACTCGTTGGGACTTCGGCGATTCCGGATTTGGGATTTTTCCGGATATTGGATCAGTCAGTTTCAATCTAGGTAAGATAGGCATGTAGAAAATTATAAAATTAAAAATATGAAATCGGGATTTATGAAATCATGAAGATCAATTTATGATCTAAAGGGTATCAATAATTACAAAAAAAAAAAAAAGCTTAATATTTATTTGTTTACCTTTTTAAACATTTCGTTCAATGTAAGTTGTTTAAGTTGCTTCGTGTTTTTTGTGATAATACATTTCTCTTTTAATTCCATAGACAGACATAATCTCTTTTTCAGTTACAAAGTTCCGTTGTTCAAGTCCTTGGAACCGCTGTTTGGAGCATTCCGACTAATTTGTCAATCGAAATTTTTTCGTTTTCAATAACCTCTGTCACTCTCTTCGCTATCGGAAGCAAATTATAATAACGAAGAATTTGATTTAAATCATATCAAAGACGGAGTACATTGAGATGAAATACAGTCAAAAGTCTTTAATCCGGATTCGGCGATTCCGGATTATCGATTTTTCCGGATTATAGATCATCATTTTAAATCTAGTAAGATGACATGCAGAAATTATAAAATTAAAAATATGAAACTGTAATTTATAAAATAATGAGCAATTATGATCTAAAGGGTATCAAAATTTGCAAAAAAAGAAGCTTAATATTTATTTGTTTACTTTATTAAACATTTCTTTCAACGTTCGCATGCGTAAAGCATACCTTACGTATAGCCGAAATTAGAAAATTGCAACCAGGAAACTATTTCATTTGTATTTGTGATATTTATAATGATGAGGAATTTGATTTAAATCATATCAAAGACGGAGTACATCGAGATTAAATACTACATTTAGTAAGGAATTATAAGCCGAATAAAATAAAAACATCTGCCCTGAAGATAACGATAGTGCTGACAGATCAACTTCCAGTTCATTACATGCCGGGACGTCCCCCCCCCAATGTGCAGAGCAGCGTGAAATTGATAAACAGATTTCGGAATGATTAGATAAACAAAGGATATGCCTTTATCCATTTTTTGTAGCAATTCGTTTTTTGTTTGATGGACATCGAAACATACTTTCGTTTTCTAGATCCTTTGGTAGCTCCAGCATCGGAAATTCTATTTGACATAATCGAAAGTTCAAGCTTACTTTTATAAAATTGCTCTTACAGTCTGCAAAAAATAATAAGCCGGATCCAATTCGAAGATTAAGGAACAACGCAATCATCAACATTAACTGAAATAGATAATTAGATAATTTTAGCTTATAACATCCGTTATACATTAAACGCGCATGCGAAAACGTATTCTGCGCTTGCGTAGACGCTTATGCGCAGTCGTAAAGGTCTTGCATGCACGTGTAAACGCCTAAGCGCATGCGTCAACGCGGCACA